ACCCACGGAAACTGCGAAAAGGGGGGCGTTATGCCTGTTTCTGCACTCGCTCCAAACGCCATTGTTCCTTTCACACTGCATGCCCACTTTCCACTTCAACACAGCCAATCACCTGCAGTCATGGACGATTTTTGCGGGAAAGTGCCAAAAAGGAAAAGAGACGGATGAGAGGCGGATGAGGCAAGAACCCACGTCAAAAGTAGGGAAAATGGGCGTCTGCGTCATGGTTCGAATTTTCACTTCCTTCCGTCAGTTCGCTCCCCCTACGAGCACTTGCCCATTGCGCTGTAGTGTCCACGCTGGCCCCGTTCCTTCCGCGTTGCGAAACATTTCTGTGCCTACGGCGTCACTGCACCTTTTTCTCCAGCTACGTCACCCGCCTTTTCTCTTTCTCTCTCCTATTTTCCTCTTTTTCCCCTTTCAAACTCTTTCGTCATCCGTCACTGCAACGAGATACAGCATCACCAACCACTCACGCTTGACGAAAAAAACACTCCTGTCCTAATCGGCTTGCCGTTTTCTATCGACAGCGTTCTATCTTACTCTATTCTTGAAAAGTATCGTGACTTCTTCCCCTCCGACGTCATTTTTATCATTTCCAGCAGCCCCCAGACCCGTTTTACGCTTTTGCGACACGAGTTTGGCCCGTTTTTACACAACGCTTTCGATTTCCCTCTTGTTTCTCTACGTTATCCTATCGTCACGTCCGTTTCCTTGTGTCTGTCACCTATCCATTGTTGGACATCGCATTGTTGATCCATTTTGTTGTTTGCTATTTGCTTTTTGCGTTTTTTGTTCTGCATCGTTTTTTTGTCGAGAGGAACATTCCACCTACGCAAAGCCTCGTTGCGTCATCGTCATCGCTCTAGGGACGCTTTCTTCCCAGCACAACGGCGACTACGCGACGACACAACGACCGATCTACGCGTTTACGATCGTCGACTTGTTAGATGCACATCTCTCGACTCGATTTAGAACGACGTTTTTAGAGCGACCGGCTTGTTTTTTCCCATTCGTTTGCGCCGAAGCAACTCGCCGTCAGACGCCTTCACACCATTACAAATCCGATTGTGTCGACTGCATCGACACCTGTCAACAAGCCGTTAATCAGTATCATTTATCGATCGCCAACCCTGTCATTACCTCACACAATGGCAAAGCACTCACCAACTCCCGCATCGCGCGGTACGTCAAAATCACCCAAGCAGAAGACCAAGTCGTCACCTTTACGAGGTATGTTTCGATTTTTCATTCTTGTCCAGTCGTTCCGTGTAGTTTTAACCCACTACTTGACCATGTCTGCGACTCAATTATTTACGCACCGACATTGACTCTACTCGACCTTGACTCCCAATCCCTTCGTCTTTATGTTCTCCATTTTCTTCTTTCATTTCAAAGAACATGTGCTGACGTATTCTGTTTCGCTCCCCCAGAGGTGCAGACATCTGCCGAGAAACCCGACCCGTCCTCCAATACCGAACCCGCCAAGCCTCTCGCACCACCGCCCCGTCCCAACCAACAGTCCGGAAACACCCCAGACTATTTTGCGAGCCAGGTTGGCGGGGCTGGCGGCTCACTGAGCCTCGAGCCGAACCCCTTTGAGCAGTCGTTTGGCGGCAGTAGCAGTGCGGGCGGAGATACCCCGAACGGGACAAAATTGCCGTCCGTGGCCTCTCTCACCTCGCCATCGTCGCTTCTGCCTGGCGGCACGACACCGTCATTTAATTGGGGTGGCGGGTCGCTCCGGACTGGTCCTCTTAGCCCGGCGATGCTGTCCGGTCCCACAAACGACTACTTCGGCGACACGCATCTGCGTGGCGGCTTCCCCACACCCAATGAATCGTCAATGAGAACGGGCTTGACCCCTGGCGGCAGCGGCTCCATGTTTCCCGCGGCAAGTCCCAGTTCCCAGGCCGTGTTTGCACAGCTCCAGAGCGGTGGCGCTACACCTGGCACATTGGACTTCCACCGCACCGCTATGACCGCCGCGGCATCCAAGCGTGAGCAACAGGCTCAGCTGACCAACCAGGCCAACCAGCAGCAGACCTCGGCTCCGACAAGTGCGCCGCAGGACCCGCCTGCCGCCTCCGTGCCTGCCTCGAAGCCTGAAGCAAAGGCATTCGACCAGGATAGTAATGCAGCCAATAGTCTTTACCTGCTTGCTCAGGGTCGTGGCAGTGCCCAGCCTCAGGCTCAATTTATTGCTCCCCCGCCACCACAGCCGGTGTCCAACACTGCTGTTCCACTGCCGACTTCTGTTGCCGGCATGCCGAACGCCCCGCCTGTCGTAAACCAGACGCCCGTGCCAATTCCAGTCATTCCCGGCCAACCTCCTGTGCGTGGTGCCAATGGCACTTCTATGACAAACGGTCATGGTGCTACCAACGGCACAGGTGCGTCCAAGAACGGGCGCAGTACTAGCGAGGCTGTTAGTGCCGTTTCGGATGAGAGTGAACCCGTGCGCACTAATGCAAAGGGGAGAGGCAAGCGCAACTCGTCTGGCGACAACGGCACTGCCGGCAACAACCGGAGAAAGGCTTCTGATGCGCCGGCCAAGGGCCCCGCTGCCAAGAAAGCAAAGACCGCGGCCGCCATTTCGCCACCACAAGACGACATGTCCGGCGACGGGGACTCGCAGTCCGACGACGACGATAACCGTCTCGGCAAGGATGGCCAGCCCCGTCCCAAGATGACTGAGGAGGAGAAGCGCAAGAACTTCCTTGAGCGCAACCGGTATGTTTTCTCGCCGCCACCGTTTTGCTCATTAGGTTGCATGGCAACAATTCTCATATATTGACAATTTCCCCCCAAACAGTGTCGCGGCGCTCAAGTGTCGTCAACGCAAGAAGCAGTGGCTTCAGAACTTGCAGACCAAGGTTGAATTGTACAGCACAGAGAACGAGAACCTCTCTTCGCAAATCAATCAGCTGCGCGAAGAAATAGTGAACCTCAAGACGCTGCTCTTGGCCCACAAGGATTGTCCTATTACGCAACAGCAGGGCCTTCATGGGACGTATCTGCAGCAGTCGATTGAGCCCTTCAACCAGCAAATGAACCCCTACGGCATGGCCGCGCCCATGGCCAGCCAGCCAGTGATTGCTGGCCAGGTTAATACCCGGCGGTTCTCTTAGAATGGGTCGCTAAACTCAGCACATGTCTCTACAGTCTCTGCATTGGATTTGTGGTCGCCTGCATCACTAGGTGACCGTACTTCCCCCCCAGTCCGCGCTGACCAAAAGGAAGATGTGATGAGATGTGGAACAGGACGAGACGAGTTGAGATAAGGAGGTGTGCTCTCCTAGAGGGTATGCCATGGGACCGTTGTCTCACGTGTAACATCAGCAAAAGGTGGCGTATACCATAATTCTAGTTTGGGACGGACAATCCGTGGATTTAACTTTTCTTTGATTTTATCATTCTCTTGGTTTGCTTTCCGTCTTATTTTTTTTTTCTTCGATTTTGCCCTTTCTGGTGTTTGGAACAAAACAACGGGCAACAAAAGGCCGCACACAAAAACGGAAGGGCCTGCGGCATCAAGGCCCTGCCTGGTAGGGGAAGGATATGGAGGACCAGGGCCGGTGGGGGTGCCTTCAACTTGGGATGTCTTTTCAGCGTGTTTGTGAATTTTTTTTTTAATTCTCCTTATAACCTTGGTCATCCGGTTTCTTCGTGCTTGTTTTCCCCATGTCATGTACTTGGACTGACACGTCCTTGTACTTGGTTCATTTTCTTACCCTTCCCTTCGTTTATTACTTCATCTCTTACATTTTCTTTCTTTGTCGACTTGCTGCATGAGAAGATGACTTGATGTCAACCGGGTTGTTGACGGTGGATGATTCAGGGGGTAGAGGCAACAAAATTCCCGGTGACCGGCAACTCAGTATATATAGTGTTCTGCCACATTGTATTCCGCATCTATCACAATCAATAAAAATTACGACTGCTTATTGTCCGGTGCGCGTTGCGGAATTTCATTGACGGTCGTTTCTCGTGACAAATGTTGGCTTAGATACGACGCCAGGTTCTTGATAAATTCCGACACGTGACAGTATTTCTCGCTCTCTTCCCAGTACTCCGTACAAAACGTCTACCCATTCTCGGCTGCCACGCTTTTCTTATTTAGGCTAGTGCGGCTCCACATCATCCAAACTGGCAAATCAGGTGCGCCGTGCAGCGCGCGTAAACAAATCGTCGACGAACAAGGGGGAAGGAAAGGTGGGAGAAAAGACCGACCGGAAGCCGCGACCCAAGGCGCAAATCGCAAAACCAACAATCAAGCAAAGCAGGATGGAAACCGCTCGTTGAGGAAGGAAGCGCCGTCCCAATTCCACCCCCTCCCCTCCCTCCTTCAACTCTTTTGCAATCTCGCGATACCTTTTGTTCTGCGCACGACACACCATTCATAAGCCAAGTCGCCCAATCGACAACGCCGACGCGCCCACCGTCACTGCCTGCATTACGCGATTGTTGGCACGAGGCTCCGACACCATATTTGTCCTTGCCGACGAAGCATCACGACCACGTTTTGGACAGAAAATCGACGCGTCAATCTGCTCCAACAGTTTCGACAAGGCGCGTGCGATATCGTCAACAGCCAGCGAAAGCACCACGGCCAGCGATTGCGAACGACACAAGCAAGCGCGAATCAGCCGCTGTGCGTCATTCGAGGAACGCACCAATTGAGCGGGGAGAGCTGCCCGGCCATCGGAAGCAGCCACTTGGGGACGAGGCACCAAAGGGCAACACAAGATCAATCGACGACAGGAACGTCTGACGGCACATTCGGAACGCGTTTCTACCTTCGCCGGGAAAACTACCGGGCACAACTGAGGGAGGGTGTCGACACCGGGCGCACACCTAGAGGCACACGGGACATGCACCCAGCGACGACACGGACGACGCACGCATTACGGCTCTATTCCGTCGCCGTCACAGCATAGCTGCACCTCACCACCGTCTGCATATTGTCCGCTCTTATCTCCGGCCCGCGCCCGCCATCCATGACGACCCTCGTACGCACCCGTCTACCGCTTCAGGACTTGAGCATGAGCAACCAGGCCAGCCGCCGCAGCAGCAAACGCATTGCTGGTAGGTTCACGCGTTTCTGGATGTCCTTTACTACGATATCGTAGTTGTGCTAACGTTTGTTTTTCTCTTGCAGCTACCTCTGTGTACGATGAGCAGGATGGCGACTTTACATTCACACGCGGCTCCAAGCGGGCCAAGACGACAGCTGCGCCGGAGCTGGCCGCACCAGCAGCAGAGAAGAAGAGCAGACAGAGCACAGGACGGAGGCGCGGCGCCATCCCCGCATCACCACCGTTGACAACACGGTCGTCCACCACCTCGCCACAACAAGTAGAGCCCCAGTCAAAACCGGTCGCGTCGACACGGCGACCCGGGCGGCCGCCAAAAGCCGCCAAGACATTACCACCGCCGGTCGATGAAGACGAAGAAGACGAGATTTCTGCGCGGCCCGCGCCAGCAGCCAAGTCGAAGCGGAGGACACGTACATCGTCTGAGCGGGTCGAAGAGCCAGTACCACCGCCAGCGCCAGTACCACCAGCACCACGCGGTGCTTCCAGTGGCCGGGGACGCAAACCGCGTGGGAGCACAGCCAAGCGGCGAGAACCCGAAGTGGCGGGCGGGGACAACGGTGATGACGACGATGTTGCTGTTGTAGACAGCGCCGACACGAGCAACGACAACACGAACGACATGAGCAGGACCCCACCAAGCGAGAGTGTGCATCACCAGACGATCGCGCTGCCGTTTAGCGACACGCCCATCATCAACCGCAACAAGGAGCTCCGGCGGAAAACCGGGCAGCGGCGCAGCAGTGTGGGCATGCGTGGACGGCGCGCGAGCTCGCTGATTGACAACGGACACAGCGCGCTGCCGCACCGCGAGGTCGACGCAGCCGAATTCTACAAGCACATTGAGGCGGAGGGGCTGCCGGAGCCGCGGCGGATGCGGCAGCTGCTCATGTGGTGTGGCGAGCGGGCGTTGTCAGAGAAGCCGCCGCACGGCTCGGCCAACTCGAGTGCGCTCTTGGGTGGTACGTTCAATGTGTCATTGTGCTCCTTATATGCGACGATTCTGAAGCTTGCATGTGCTAACTCCAGCCGCTCTTTTAGCCCGCGCAATACAAGATCAGTTGCTGAAGGACTTTGCAAACCGGGCGGAGTTCTCCAACTGGTTCGGTCGCGATGAGCTGCCCGACGACGAGGCCCAGAAGCCCAAGAAGCCCGTAGTACTCAAGCCGAATCCGCGCAACATTGAGCACGAGGAGAAGATTGCCGAGCTCGAGGCGAGGATCAAGAGGTGCGTCAAATGGATGGAAGGCGGAAGGGCTGGGGCCAAGCAATCTGAATTTGCCAAACTAACAACACCCTGCAGGTTAAAAGAGGAAAAGAAAAAATGGATGTCGATGGCAAAGCCAACGCTCGACTTGCAGCCCTTGTACGCGGCCGACGCCAGCCCCGCCGATCTCGCCAAGGTGCCACCACTACCCGACGAGAGCCTTCTCGACCCGGAGGAGGCAAAGATGCTGCAGGCCGTCCTGCCACGGCAACAGCAATCAGAAGCAGAAGCAACCTCGGACGCAGCCGCTTTCCGGGCCCAAATACAAGAGCGCGTCGGGCATTTACGAACAGCGGCGGCGTTCCAGGTCGACCACCTGGCAGCCAACGTGCACGTTTTAGACCAACGGGTGGCTGTGGCGGGGCGGGAGGCGGACCTGCTGTTGCGACTGGGTGCAGCGCGGCTCAAGGCACGCGAAGACCGCGAGAAGGCGGCCGTGGGCACGCGGGAGATGCCGGTGATGGAAGTGCTGCGGAGTCTAGGCAGGATCCTGCCGGAAGACAGCGGAGGTGGGAGCAGTGGCAGTTGATGTGGGTGTCTGTGTGTGCGACCGTCTCAGTCGGGATGCTTTACGACGTACACTCAGTGCCATTTTTCACACAAACCGGCGTTCATATGGGGTTGATTGGGGCAGGATATCCATGGGACGAGAATTTACTGGAAGGTGGGACGAGCGTTGGGTGGTTTTCTTTTTCTTTTGCATTGTGCATTGTGCATTGTGCATATTTGCTTTTCCGTCATTTGTGCTTACGCTTTTCTTCATGTACTTTCCTCTTGTCTTGTTTCGTTTCCTTTTGTCTCTTTTGTCCGCACTTTTTGTGTCTCTGATAATGAGCATAACGATTTTCTTTTTTGTTTTCATCCGGCATTCCATGCGGGTTTCAAAGTCTTTACATATTTTTTGTTTCACATGCATCCTCCCACCCTCCCATCCTTGCTCCCTGCACCCTACTTCTTGCCAAAGTCGGGCAGCGGCGGCATAAAAGCCATGCCCTCGCCGGTCCGCTTCGTCTTGCTGATTGTCGCCTTTGCGCTGCCGTCGTCGCGGCCAATCTCGCCCTCGGCCGACCGCTCCTGCACGTGCTGCCGCAGCATTGCCAGGATCTCGCTGCCCTGCCAGCGCGCCGGCACCGGGCGATACGCCGGCTTGAACGTGCCCACCGTCTGCGCCCACTCGTGCGCAGGGCGTTCGCGGATGTTGCTGCCGCTGCCATCGTCGGCTGTTGTGGCGGACGTGTTTTCCTCCTGCGTCACCCAGTAGTAGATGTCCCAGTCGTTCTCATCCAGGAACCGGTCGTACTGCTCCAGTTGCGTGGCCGTCATCGTCGCCAGGTGTGCCGAGGCAAACGTCGACAGCAGCAGGTCCGACTCGAGCGTGCCGCGTTTCCGCGACTGGTAGAGCAAGCGGGCGCGCATGGTCACCACGTCTTCGCCGACACGGCGCAGGGGCTCGATGCGGAACGTGCCGCCCGGCAGTTCGCCCAGCTGCAGCTCGCTGGCGGGCTGGGGATCAATGGGCCCGGAGCGGTTGACGTCGTCGTTGGAGGAGGCGTTCCTGGATGAGGAAGAGGTCGAGAAAAATGACGTCGACCGGTAGGCGCGACAGGTGCAGGTGCGGGGCGTGGCATATGGCAGCGTGCGCAGGGCGTCCCGCGCCGGCCGTAAGAGTCGTTGAGCAGTCATTGTGGCGTTGTATGTGTGTCTATATGATGTGTTCGCTGGTGTTGTTCTGTCGAAGAAGAGACGACGTCTATCACAAGCGAATTGAGAGTCGGCTATAAATTTTCGAGATAGTCGGCTTTACCGCTGTCGCCCGCTGGAAGGAGCACCTCGGGTCCCCTAAGCAGCAAAGTTAGCGGGCTCTGCGCAGAACCACTACCGTCATTATAAAGCCTCCTGCAGCCGCCAACATCACGGTCTGTCGGTGTAATGAGCTGCAGGAGTCCCGACGTCGAAGCAGACATCGAATACATTCGCATCAAAGTCAAGATTACAGTAGCAAGTCTCCATGCCTATTTTGTTTCATCTCGTTGTTGCGCTGAGTTGGCCGAATGCGAACCTTTCTATCCAATTTGGTCACGTGCCACGTTCACATGCGTTCACACCATCAACATTTCGAACATCGTTCAAATCAGTCAAAGCACAACGGTCGACTGGATGTCAAGATAAAAAGTAGTTTCCCGTCTTTTTTGCGCCAGTTCATTTCCATGCTATACACTGAAGAAGCGCCTCCACATATCCTTCACGGGCCGAAGCACCACGGTACCGTGTAGATGTAAAAATGAAGACGGTCTCCCCCATATCCGTCGTATGTTCATAGTTATCTGTGTAGTTGTCTTTCCTCCTCTCGCTCTTCGCTGCTTAACTTGACATACCCCGGTTGCCGCCCGGGATTCTGTAAATGCAGTATTTTTCATATATGAATTAGATAAGGGTACAGTAAAGAAAGGTTGGTGTATGGAGAGGCGTGCAAAGCGCAAAAGCCCGTCCGTTCCGATCATGCCGGTGGTTGTCGATCGTCGTCGGTAGCCTTAGATAAGATGCTTGGAGCTTTGGGGGGTGTTAGTGGACGTTAAAGGAGGAGAACCGTGAAGGAAAGCAAAAATGATAGAAAACCCACCGGAAGTAGGCGCGCAGGTACATGATCTGCCAGCCCCAGAGGCCAATCAGCAGGAACGTGGTGCCAAAGCCGAACCATTTGACGCGCGTGTTGGTGCTCTCGTTGGTATCGCGCAGCTTCTGCTCGCGCTGGCGCAGGTACTCCATCTCGCCGACAATCTCGTTGAGCATCTCCTCGATGCGCCGCAGCTCCGTCTCGACGGGCTTGAGCTTCTCGTTGGCCTGGATGGCGGCCCAGTCCTTGGCATCGGCGCCAATGTCGACGTCCAGCTCAATGTGGCGGAAGCTGTCGGCGCCGCCGCGGTGCGCGAGGTTGTTCTCGAAGCATATGTCAAAGGCGGCGTCCGCGTGCGACGTGAAAACGGTCCGCTTCTCGCCGACAATGTCCTTGGCCCGGCCGTACTCGTTGCCGACAGCATCCTTGATCTGTTGTACCTGTTAGCAGCAGCCACCAACCGCATCTCTCTCTCTCTCCCTCTCTCTACGCCCTCCAGTCCAATGTGTACTCACATGCATGTTGACCACCTGGCCGTCGCCCTTGTGGCCGCCGACAGTTGCCGTCACGACCACGAGGGTGTCGCGGGTGACAAAGTTCCGTATGCAGCGTGGATGGCCGTTGGTCGGGTGCAGGTCAAACTTAAGGGCCTGGGCCGCCGTCGCAAACAAAAACAGGCCGTACAGGCCTTGCTGCAATGTCGTGGGAAGCATTGTGACGTGGGCGGAAAAGAAAGGAGACGGACGCAGACGAAAGAAGACGAAAGGGGGAACACAAGAGTCGAAGAGGGCGCGAGAAACGAAAGGAACCGAACGTTGAAACGCTTCGCTCGGTCGTCAATTCGGTTGCCGGATGCACTCGCACGTTGTACGGGAATGCGAACGGGGGCGGACAGTTGGTGATGTTCGAATTTCGAGATGAGGAAAAAAAAAGGCTCTAGAATCAATCTGAACACCTCTTTCCCTTGCGAGTCGCGTTTCCCCTTCACGCACCAGCAGCTCCCTACCCCCCCGTGGTTCCCCCAATCAAGCTCCTAGAAAAACCCGCTCTAGGAAGAAAACCCGTGTCCACAGCTGGGTACCGCCCCCTGAGTCGTGCCTGTGATGTCCTGGCCAATCAGGGTGGAGCAGCGCCTCTAGGCCAGAAAGGCGCGACTACAGCTACCATCTTTCATTTATCAGCACGTGACAAGGCGCCTAACTGGACCAGGCTGCTGCTACCTTCCCATGCAATGTTTTTTGTAGCAAGAGCGACCGACGCCACTTAACATCGACCCGCGAAAAGCTTCACTTTTGCGATTGCATGCTTGGCGCACTCGAGATTGCGAAGCTCGCCCGTTTTGATCGACAACCTCCGACGCAGACACCTGGCCAGGCACGACTGCCTAGTCACCACGCTATCAAAATGCCTAGATGTATGCCTCCGCTTCTTGTATGCGAACACCTTCGTGAACATGACTTCCTATGCTAACATTTGACTCTAGTCTTTTGTACGTAGCTTGATGTGACCATCCAGTCCAAACGATAACCTCGCAACTGCGCGACACCCTCCGATCCTTCATCCTCTGTACCCTTCCTCTCACTAACACACATGCTCCCAGGCGATTACTGCGATGTCTACCTCACCCACGACTCGATGAGCGTGCGCAAGGCCCACAACAGCGGCCGCAATCATCTGCGCAATGTCGTCGACTACTACCAACGTGAGTCTTTCTCCTCTTCCTCCAGCACGTACAACGGCATCAACACGACTCGTGCGCTTGCTGCTGCTCCTTCGTATGGCAGAAACAGCAGCGGCAGGCCGCACAGCCGTCGCCACAACTGGCAAAACCAGTACTATCGCCACGATCATGACGGACGCGCCGCTGACAGACGCCCGCCTCTGCGAACAGAAATCGGCCACGAAAAGGCACAATCAGTTATCGACTCGATCACCTCTTCCTACGCCGCCGAGGGCCAGGCCCATGCAAACCCCATGCTCCCCCACAACCAGCCCGGCTACGCTGCCGCCCAAGCCCGCTTCGGCGGCGGACGTCCGGGCTTTATGAACGGCGGAGGCCCTCCGGGTGGGCCGCGTGGCATGCCCATGCCGCCGTCCTTTGGCGGTGCCGGCGGTGCCCCGGGCGCGCCTGGTGCACCGGGTGCTCCTGGTGTCGGCGGCCTGCCCATGCCGCCACCACACTTCAACTTTCCCGGCGGCATCCCGCCACCCATTCCACCCCCAGGCAGCGGTCTACCTCCACCGCCCGGCAGTGCAGCCTTTGGAGCGGGCGCCCCAGGCAGCGGCGCCAGCGGCGGCGCCAGCGGCGGCCGTGGCTTCCCCATCCCGCCACCACCGCCCGCGCTCGGTGCCAACGGCGCGCCCGGCGGCATTCCGCCCCCGGTTCTGCTGCTGCTGCTGCAGGTGGTATGCCCCCTTTCCCTTCCCCATCCCTCTGCCCGGCCAGCCGGGCGCGCCACCTCCCAACTTCCCTGGCTTCCCAGCCGGCATGCCCATCCCTGTACCCGGCCAGCCCGGCTTCCCGCCGATTCCACCGCCGCAGTTCATGCACGGCGCCGGTGCGGGTGGGCCGCCAATGCCTGGCCCGCCTGGTGGCGACAGACGATAATCATGGCAGCAGAGAAGCCAGTTGGCCAGTCTTGGCGTAGTTGTTCTCGACATGTGCTTTTATTTTCGTTTTGTTTTTTATGTGCAATCCCATTTGATGTTGTTGTTGTTGCATGTGTGTTATTTATTGCCTTGTATTTCTTGTACATACAACGGCCTTTACGGCCTTTTTTGTATTTTGCTGTTGCTCCTGTCTCGCTTGGAGAACAGGAAAGCGTTGGGAACAAACATGGCGTTCTGGGATTTCAAAAATGGCGATCACATGGTGCACAGTTGAGTTTTGTTAATACATCAAATACCCTGAATATTGCTTTGCCATGCCGTCATTTAGCATGTGTTCCAGTGTCGTCATCATCTATAGAAACCACATAGGTGGAACGAAAATACTGCGACATTTGGTCCGTAATGAAGAACCTGTCGTTTGTCGTTTGTTGATGCAAAATCTTCAAAATCTGCAAAATTTGTACACATAAAGACGTTAGGTAAGTTGACAAGAATACATATATGATAGAATCGCAACACGATAACAGAACTCCTGGCCAATTTAAGTTTAAGCTGGCCGTCCAAGGGATCGTAAAATAATATATAGCTTGCCGCAATTGTTTGTCGTGACATTTCGGAGGGCATCATAAACGGAACAGGATATAAAGAGGGTTCAAAAGAAAGCAAATATCTGGAACGGCAAGCAACATCATGAGCAAGAAGAAGAAAACAAACCTGAAAAAAAAAAAGATAAAGAAAACATAAAGCCGTCACAATCATAACGTTCGTAAACATTCAAAAACGACAATCAGCTCGCTTGAGCCTGTGTAAAGGCGTCGCGGTAGTTTGTCCGCCGGATCACCTCGCCCACGCCATCGCGAACCTCCTGCGGTCCGCTAATCTTCTGCCGCAGCTCGTTGCTCCTCTTCTCGCGGCGCCGTTCACTAAATCGCCGCGGAATCGTGTGTGGTCCGTACTCGCCAATTTTGTCGCCCAGGCCAAGATCCGGCAAGATCTTCATGGGCTTTCTATCCCCTCCAGCAGCACCGTCCGCACCGGAGGCGCCTGGGGATCCGGGTTTCTCGTCTTCGTGGACCGCGTTGCTGGCATCAGCGCCAGTACTCTGGTTGTAGTAGTTGTCATGCAGCTCGGGGCGGTCTCTGCGGCCCAACGAAGGGCTGCGCCAAAACCGAAACTTGCGGCTACCTTGACGCCCAGGCGCTGTGTATGGCCGGTGGTCGTCGACTGTAGCATATTCACCAAGAGACTCGGTGCTTCCGTGATGCTTGACCACACGTAGGTTGCCACTAGGCGTACGGCGTACTGTCCGGCGATCCGCCGGTGTGTCGTCAATCGAAGCTGGGTAGAAATCATCCGCCGCGTCGATGGGAAGGATGGCAAACGTCTTCTTCATCCGCATGCTCAGACTTCTCCGCGGGCCACGCGGGCGGTTGTCAATAGGAGGATACCGGTAGGTCTCCTCGTCCTCGTAGCCGTTGCCGTGCCGGTAATCGTCGTCATCCAACAGCTGGGAAGCTGGCCGCCAGAATGGGTGGAGCTTATCCTCCTCTGCAGGCTCGATATCAAAGGAGGTACCCCTGCCCTGGTCAATGGAGTCAGAGCGACGGATGGAAAACGCTTTCCTCTGCACGTCTCTCGTCAACGACAGCGTGCGTGTCAAAAGACCACCGCTTCGGCTGGCCGATGGACCGTACTCGGTTGTCGCACTGCGGCCACGGCTGAGCGCCTTTCGCAAAACTAAAGATACACTGCGCCGCCGGCGAGGTCTGCCATCGCTAGCACCTTGGACAACTTCTTCAAAGTAGTTGCCCCGGTTCTGCTCTCTCTCAGTCGATGGAGTCAGCCCTGACGGCGTTGCCGGGATGAAGTTGATCGCTGGAGGCTCTGGCGGAGCACGCGGGTTCCGCAGAGGCGAGTCGACATCGTCGAGTGAGAATGGTTGCTGGTGGGATGGCGTTACAGGTATGTCTTCTGCCGTGTCGTGATCCGTCTTTGTTATTCTTGGCCGATCTAGCGGTGGCGCGGAGACGGAGCTTGGCGTAAGAGCCGACGCAAAGTCTGATGCTGGAGACGACTCTTGTTTCGAGGAGCTAGGCCCCGTGTCGTCCGTCAGGCGGTCTGGCTGTGAGTCGTCTGAGCAATCTGATGGTCGATTGGAGTGGTCAACAACAAGCACCGAGGTGTTTTGATGGGGGTAGATGTTGACTGCCAAGGCTTCAGATAATTCAGCTTGGGAGTGATGTGTCGTGTTCGTTTCAACAGACACCATGGAGAAGGGAGTGTTGTGCGGCGACAAGTGCCGTGACGAATAACGGTCCATGTAACGATCCAAGCTCGATCTCGGGTCAAGGAGGTTGCGGTGGTCGTAGTTGCTCTCATCGCCGTGGATTTTATCCGAATCACGTTTTTGGACATCCTCGTGTCTGTCAGTGTGGTCGCCGAGCCGAGGGAGTACTGTCTCATCCGCAGCACTTTGTTCCATGTGGGTATCGCGTAACAAGAGGCTTTCAGAGCGCTGGGCCTCTGGGATTGCAGGAGCCTCGTATTTAATTTCAGGCCGTGATGCTGGCTCCAAAGACCGCTCGGATTGTTGTTGAGCTAGCCCCACTGCAGGGCTATCGCCTGTATCATTTGGCTCAGTACCGGGAGAGGCTTTCGCCTGGTCATTGAGGCGGGCCTTCAAGATTGCCGAATGCGCGTGGACGCTTTCAGCATTCAACGACCCACTCCGTGACACGTTGCGGCTTGTCGGGGCCGAAAGAGATGAAGACCGCTTCGGAATGGTAGGGGGAAAGTCGATCGTGCGCTGATCACCCGGTGCAGAGCCATCACGCGCGAAGCTGTTCCGTGTGGAGCCTTCAGACACAGAATACGCCCTGCTTCGCCGGCTGCCCTGTTCCAAGTATGGAGAGACCTCCCTGCTTTTTGAAATCTGGGATAGTGGCGCAGAGTGCAAGCTCTGGCTCCTCGTCGATCGGCGGCTGCTAGTTGAGCGAAGAAAGGGCTCGCGGCTGGACGACCTCACAGATGACAGGCGGCTTGGGACAACAACAACAGGAATACCGCCTGCCTTCCAGATCTCACGTCTGGCGCTCCGGCTCGAGATACTGTTCATGCTGGTCGTGGAGGCAATGCTGTCGTGGCCACTGCTGTTGAAACGCCCACCGTTCGGACGTCGCTGTCTGGTTGTCTCGTCCAGTAGTGACGTGGCTGTGGAGCTTGCAGGAGACAGGTCGAGTCCCGAGTCGCGGAGTGTAACTTGCTTTTTTACGTGACGAAGCGTCCTCTGCCTTTGTGGGGGTGAGCCAAAAAAGACAGATTCCGCAACAGCAGGCACATTCGATGTAAAGGATGCAGTCGAGACACGAGGCCGCCTGTCGCGCGTCGACGGAGCCAAAGTAGGTGCCATCTGTGCGATGACTGGTTGCTCGCGACTCTGTTCAACCGCCTGCGGCAGTTGTTGACTCTGACTACGCTGGTGTCGCTGTTGTTGCCGTTGCGGCTGCTGCTGTTGTGGTGGTAGTGGAGGTGGCTCTCGGTGCTGAACTGGCTTTTGTGGCTGTGTTCTAAGCTGGTCGGTACTTTCGTTCGAAGATGGGAAGGTCAAAATCCTCTGGGGCAAAGATATGGAACGAAGCGCCTTTGTTGCATTTGTTGGCGTCACTATAACGTCTTCAATGACTTCGTCTCGGATGCCAGGCCCCGCTGCATTCTGATTTGCGGCTCGAGGGTGCCGCACAGCAACATGCCGTTCAAGATTATCGTCCCATTCCTTCACAGCATCGTCAGTTTTGGAGCCCCACTCCCCGTCGAAACTAACAAATTCGCGTTTTGATTTGGGAGTGATGCTCTCCTCGGGACTGGACTCCAGGCCTAGCCCCAGGCCCACAGCCTTCGGTTGGCGTTTTTTCGGGGTCTCATGATTCTCGGCCACGAAGTGGCGAACCGTGCTTTCTGATGTCCGCGCTGAGATCGGAGCGGGCGGGAGTGACGTGAAGCTGTCCTCGTTGTCGGATGATGACGATGATGGATTTTCGCGTGCTGTCTTAAACGACGCCGTTCTGGAGTCGGCGGTGCTTCTCGACATGTTGCGGTCCCGGAGGGGCGGTCGCGAGGGAGGGCCCTTTGGGCGCAATTCAGGTTGAATAGTATGTGGTGGAGTAACGTCGGGTGTAGGTGGGCTCAGCTGCTTCGTCGGTGTCGTGGGCAGCGCCGGCTTTAGTTGCACATCTTCGGCACTCCGTTCCGGGCTCTGGACATAGGTCGCAGTGGATGGCAAAACGGAGTAGGTAGCTGACGAGTTGCGGGAGTGTGCTGGTGGTGTTGGGGGCAAGTCAGGGCCATTGCCCAAAGTCTTGGGGTACTGTTTCTTTGTGCGGGGGCTGGAAGGCTGTGAATATGTGACGGATGCATCGTCCGATAAGCCACCCGCGGATGAAGACGCGGCCGAAATTGCCAAGGCGGGACCGGAGATTTTCGGCGGCCCTAAAGGGCGGGGCACTCCTCGCAAACTGGTGTACGAGGTATCTTTGCTAGGATGGGGAAGCACTTTGTGCTTTTTGAAGAGGAGGTGGTGGTTTGCAGAGGCTGGCCATGATGCAGATGGCGTCTCTCCATCATCCGTAGCCGCCGTTGCAGGCGCGGTTGCAAGCGGCGGTCTCATCGTGTTGGCGCTAGCCGTTGGACGGCCCGAGCCAAGTAGTTCGCCAAATTTCGTGGTTTATCCCTTTAAGTGCGCATCGGTGAAAGCGACATGGACGGCGTGCTGATCATGGTGCGTGGCAGAGCAAACGTGAATGTGAAGAAACTCTCAAGGCTCGGGAGATCTTGGCCCAACTTTGACGTTTTAGCGGAGCTGGTGCGGTTTTATGTATGATTTTTGGTCGAGACAAGGATCCAGAAATGAGGCGATAAAAGTTCGTCTGAGTCCTCAAAGGCTCGAGACGCGAAAAAGTCGAACAAACCTTGTAGTCGGTTTTGAAGAAAAGAAAATGTGGAAAGCGCGCAGTGTCCAGCAGCAGCGTTGCTGCTTTTGAAAATAAAGTAGAAGTTGTCGATGCTATGTAGAACCGTCGTTCCACGGGGTGAAAAGATCTTATTCCCTCGACGTCGTACCTGCGAATTCAGGCAAGCCGTGAACGGCCAGGTGGCGCTGTCCACTGCCACAGAATTCGTCACTTGTTTGTGCTGTTACTCAGGTTTGTCCTCGTGTCTGGCCAGGGTCGTTTTCGCTGCGTCTTGCCCCTCTTCGGTCGTCTGGTCGTGGCGCAAAAGTTCCTCGAATGTCATAAACTTGTGAGCCAGACTGCAGCCAGAGTGTCGCGACCCAGCGCATGGCGCAAATAGAACTTTCGTGGCCGGAAATGTCGAGGTCGAGCGGGAGTGTGATCGCGACGAGGGCAAAGCGAGGGGACGGGGGGGATGGCAGTCTCGGTTATGCCGGAGCCTGTGCTGTCTCGTTGCAAAGTAATCGTCGTGAGGATCCGCCGGTGACAGGTGGAATGTGGTGGTTCGAAAATGGCAATCGTAGGAGCGATACGGAATATGGTGAGTTGGTAAGGAGACAAGGAGAGAAGCCAGGAGAAGAGGGGGGAGATATTACGCTGCAACGATGCAAAAGTGTGACGAGAGCATATGAGCAAAAATAGGCAAGAGCAGAGAGGCTGGGAGAGGCAGGTGCAGCGGATTGGGACCACCAGGAAAGGAAGGCGCTGTCCCCGGACCTTTCCATACTCACAGGCCCTGGCCGTGCTCTGGAAGAATTTTACGGCGCAATGCACTCTCGTCTAATAGGAAAGAGCCACTGTAACAGTTTCAAAAACAGAAGCAAGGCAGCTACGGCGGCGAATGTGCAGCAAGAGGGCTCGGGTGGAATGTTGTCCAGTCCCTTGTCTGAAAATGCTGGGTCCGTTTTCCAAACTGAACTGGGCCAAGAGCAGGCCATGCAGGTGCTGAATGCCACGCATCTTTTGCAATCATCATACTATTGAGGCCCGCCAGCGGGCTTTTGGTGCATTAGCGGCTGCTTCCAGCAGCAAATTGGACTCGGACCCCCGCTCGCTAGGACAAGCCGTTCCTGCCACCCGAGATTTTTCTCCTTGCCCAAGATCGTTGTTTTTCGTGCGACTGTTTGCATCGCTCTTTCTTTACGAGATTTGTCGCATTTGTGGCCTTGGTCCCTCTTTTTCCTATGGAGAAGCGTTCCAATAAACAAAAGTTAAGGAAGGAGCCGAGGAACGGTCTTGTCGTGATCGACTGTGTTCCTAGTGGACAATGGCGCGAATGGGCGAGTCCGCTCCTTCCCTCCCGCGGCGGCAATACAGGCCAGCTCACGGCATTCTACTACAATCAAGCGGAGGAAAGACCACATGACGAGCGTCGCTCTCATGATCTTCATCGCAAAGTTTGCTCTGGGAAGACGCATACGAAGTATGTCGTATTGCCTAACTCGTTGTTTCTTTCTCCTTTCTCTTTACCAAAATCTCGTGTACAATCGTACAATCCTTCCCCTCCCAGTTTTGCACCCCCCTTCTCCTTCACTATTGTTTTTCTTCTTTCGTTCTTCGAAACGTGCCTCTCACCCACCTTTCAACCCACCCTTCGACCTCTCGTGTCTCCTATCCAGATTGGCCGGCTGCGACTAGACGTGCAGCATGCAGGAGGTCATCCACGAATCAGAGCACAGGGCCGCCTCTCGAGGCTGCTCGGCCATTTACAGACCTGCATAGGCTGCATATGCTGCAAAGAACGGCCAAGAAAGGGCAGAAACTCGGGCCTAGCAAATCAGACACCGAGACGGCTCGCAAGCAAGGTGCAGACGATATTCTGAAGGACAGAAAGTCGTTCTGCCCGGGCACACAAAACGGATTCGACGACAGAAAAAAGGTCAGAGATTTCTCTGATATTCTGCCGGATTGATGCATCCCGGCCCCTTCCTGTAGCCATCCTTTGAGTCTCAATCCTCGGGCCTGGTTCGTTACTATCTCCCTCCCTCGCGAGCTGTTTTTTTATGTTTTTACTAATTTATTTCTTATGATTTCTCCTGCAAAGGGTTACTTCTCAGCTGTTCGACGGTGTGCGCTGAACGAAAGCAAGGCGACTATTGCAATGCGATGAGATCCTCACATCCCCACACGGCCGGGTGTCGCTTGCACATTTTATGGCGAGTGGAAGAAAGTGGTAATGATCCAACAAGAAGTTTTGCCCTTTGACCCTTGCAAATGCGGAGTATATTGCCGCAATATAGCTGCCCCTCGGCTTCTGCAAACGCCAAAGTGTGGGTGGTGCCAGACCACGATCTCGGAGATCCACCATTCCGTGTGCGATTGTATCTCAAATGGGACGAAACGCCTAGACGAAGCTCGACCTCTCCAGCGTGCCTCATAATATCACATAAAGATACATAGTTGCGTCTCTCTGCTGTGTTTCCGGCGACCACAGGCATTTAGCTCTGTTGAAAATGTTCTGATCCCTATCAAGCCTCCTTTCTCCTCTTCGACCAAATGTCCTTTGTAAGGTATTTACGACATTCTTTTGGCTGGACGGCAACGAACACTTGGCTATAGTCCTTTCTCGTGGTACAAGCACAAAGACGCCATGGTCTGCAAGTGTTACGTGGCGTCCTGCAGGATCGGCCAAAGAAAAAACCCAAAACTTCACGATACAGTATAAACGACACATTCGATGTATCCTTTCGCCCAAGGAGGCGGTCATCGTTTGGCTCAGACCCAAATGTTTGTTATACGGCAAATGATCGTAAGTTTTATTCGGCCCATTTGGCTCCGAACTGTGGAGTTTGGGCCCCTTCTCCTGCTTTCGGTTGCACACGACTCATGCAGCAACAAGAGGCCACACCAAACCAACAAGATCAAGGCTCCTTTGCCAGCACACACACAAGGTAGTGCAGCAGCTGAACCCCGAAGGTCAACAATACGAAACCCTGCATCCGGCACTGCGTGGACCACTTGCATGCCAAGAACGAGACCAGACTCACACGCCATGCGGTGAACGAAATGTTGTATTTTCCTGCAGCGACCTCTTTTTCTTTCACCTTCTTACTTTGTCTTGGCTCTTCCACCTATCCCGCAGCTGAAGTGTTCTACAAGCTATGCCACCAACAGACTATCGTACAGCAAAAGCAACTGTGTCCCACTGTCTCTACGTTATATTTCTGACCAGCCGAACAAGCGTTTGTGGCGGTGCCTTTTCCATGGGTAAATGTTTGTGTGGCCAGCCTTGTCTCGGCCTGGCCAAAACCTACCAAAGATGGCACACCGCGGCCGGACATGCTCAGCATGTAGACCATCCGGCCGGGGACGGGATACACAGCCTCGCAGTGCTGTACAGCGTCAACCATGAATGTGTGTTTAAAGGTTCAAATACGCCGGCGCTGCAGGAGCGAGACTCGGGGTTCACGAGGCATTAGACGCCGTCGCCCGAAGGATATTTCGTTTGGTTATATATTCTTTTTTATTGTGGTGAAAAGCCCAAAGTGCAGTGTTCTTCACGCTGGCCTGCCAGTGCTGCCCGTTTCCGCGTGTTTACACTTTGCCTTCAAGTCTACACCATTAATGACAGCAGCCATCTCCACAGAGCCTTACGCCATCTCGGTTCGAACGCCGTTCGACGGAGTTTTCGGTTACTCAACAAACGAACAATACGTGAAACAGACGGCAAAAATGCGACTTTCTTCGGATAATTGCATATTACGGTATTGTGGCATAAAGATTTAGAGAGTATGAAGTTTTCCAGCACCAACGAACCAGTTGATAAAGGGATATCTGCAGGCTCCACTGTCAAAATGCCAATGGCCTGAGGATCGCAGAGTATGCGGTGCGTATCGTTGTCAATGTTGATGGCGATATAATTCACGCAATGTTGACAGCTCCATGTGTCTTTGACGAACTGGGATCGATTCTTTGTCACGTCACAATCACGATGCGTTGATCACTCCTTCACTTTGTCCAGGCAACGCCCGGTATGACCTCACGACTGCATCATCACCCCTCTTACTGCTTCCAAGATTGTTGCATCACCAGAATCGAGCTCTACTCATGAAAGGGTTCAGCAGCATAATATTTTGCTTTGATGAGTCCAGCTAACCTCTACTCGCCTCAACTGATCTCGAAGACATACGAAATTTTGTCGCATGGCGTCAAATAACAGTATTATCCTAGAAGTCAGTGACGCAATTTTTTTGAACACTGCCAATTAGTTGTCTACAGGTTATGACCCTTTGTTTCCACATTATCTTGCTAACGATCGATGCGATCTGTTTGTGGCAGTTTTCTCTTTGACAGGGATCGTGAACAAAGCATTTGAGCTTCAGCAGTGCAAAACTAAAGGATAGCTCTGGCGGTCGACCTCGTCCAACAGAAAGGCTCTCTTCGTTATGTGGGTGCATTGATTGATGTCCAAGTCAAAGCTTTCTCTGTGTCAATGGGAGGATAAACTACGGTCTTTGTGGTCGTTTTACAACTTCCCGAGTCTCACTCTCGCCATGACAGCGCTGGAGGCGTCATCAGACAAATCTTGACTGGGTGCTCGGGTGACTTTACCGCTCCATCCCAAATCAGCAGCACATCACGTTCTTTATTCCTTTGTCGGCCCTCCCACCGCTTGCTTGCCTTTCGTGAAAAGCACTCTATACATCTCTTCGAAGCGATCGAGCGGTCGCATCGAAGCTATGACGCTTTGATTATATGTCTAGCCCATGTTACCTATGCTACCCAAGCTGCTAACCAGAAGAAGACAAAGCAAACTGTCCGCACCGTTGACAAGAGTGAGACACGTACAGGGCCCTAACTTTGGCCCTCGTTTTGGCACTTTGAAGATCCTCATCATTCTGAAAGCCCTCTACAGAAATCAGGCCTTCGATATGAGAGCCGATCGATCGTCCCCAAAGACTGAAACAAAAAGGACCGTCACGGCCAAGACATCGTTTTGCACCCTCTCGATCCTTCACCGAAATAAGCTTAATCCGCCGGAATCCTCAAAATAGAGCAGTGGCATCGATGTGGAGTACGGAGTAATGGCGTTGGCGGCAGTTCTACAAAGCAAAGTCTGTTAGTTGCTTCTACCTATCTCTCTTTTCTCGAGATGTCGTTCTCGTCCTTCCCTCGCGACCGCACCGGGAGCTTCTCTTAGTGCTATCACTCGCTCGGTTCCAAGCTCCGTATTGCTTCGTTAAAAAGAAAGGTTCGACAGGATACAAAAGACATCCGCGGCTACCGTCTTTTTTTTTTTTTCGTTTTGGCAAGCTTCCGCCGGCTCAAATGCTTGTTATTCAGCGCATCGACGCTAAGGCGGAGTTGTTAGGGGAGAGCTTGACCGATTCACTTTCATCTTCTTTATAGTGACAGTATCAAAGTTTTCTTATTATAAGGGACTGACTGGCGCACCAATCCGTAGCCGTGACTCACAACAGTGTTGACTATTTTCCAGGTTTTTCCTTCCCAGCGACAAATCGACTTGTCTCGACGCTGATTTCGGGGCTCAATGTCTGAGAACCATGCTTTATTCCCCGGTTGCGTCTTTGTTCTCGGTGTCTTACCATATTATACGCCCAGCGAATTACGACAACGAGTCTCTGAGTGCTCGCCTCGTTCCACAGTTGCTTGCTCGTGCTTTTCTCACAAATTTCGCTGCCGTTTCATCAGTTCCCTCCCTTGTCATTTTGTGGGAAAAGGGTCTACCGAGCGCCGATCCTTCGTTCTTGGCCATCCGGAGCACGGAGTACGTACAGGCATTGCTCCGTTGCAGTTGTCATCCCATGCACGGAGTAACACTCCGTGCGTTTTCTTTCAGACACGGTGATGCCGCTATTTTGCCAGCGTTTTTAGTTGTGGTAGCATCGACGAGTACATTTACACCTGCACCTAAAAAAAGAAGTACCACGCTTCAGTTGCACCACATCGACAAGGCAAACACATGCAAAGTACGACGTAGTTTTTTACATTTACTTTTTCATCATTTAAAAATAGAACACGACTAGAAACGAGTCAGTCACGGGGTGTTGGGCAAAAAAAAAAGATGCAGCAGAAGGGAGAAAACAGTACAATTATGATACTTACCTCCAAAGGCGATATCGCACTTCTCACTTCTTGTCATCGTCCTTGACCCTGCCGAGCCCGCCAAAACCCCTTGATCGTATTTGTCTCACAAGCCTTTGTTCGCTTCTACGTCGTACATTGTTCTTTGAGAAGCTTCACATAAAAACTAAATTCTCTGACAAAATTTTGATAGTTTTAATTTTGCCCTCGCCGACTTCCATTTCAACGTTACCTACGTTGCGAGGCCGTACGCCCGTCCGCATATCGATGCTTTCTTTGTCGTTCTCGATGTTGCTGGAGAGGCTTTCTTGTTCTAGAATAGAAATGTCTCACCTTCTTTGCCCATTTCTTTGTCCGTCGTGCTTTCATTACCAAATAGACAGTGGCGCTACTGTGTTCTTACCCTATCGAGCCTGCGCCTTCTAGGATGCTTCGCTCCTTCTTCTTTCTCTGCCCACATACTTTCATGACCAGAAGGCAAAAGCAGGGCATGCCAGGAAAGAACATCTCCACCGGTTCAATGGCACCATGTCTAAAGTAGGATCCCGCCCGGTGTCGTGCTCCACCAGTCCTCAGCAGGCGTCTTGGGTGAGGGGCCAACCTTAATTATGGAGCCTGTACGACATACTCCCTGACTCCCTAGCTGGGCAGGAATGGATCGGCAAGCACCAGCCAACTAGAGCGGATCCCCCACCACACTCAACAACGCCCACGCTCCTTCCCTTACTTCCAGCTTCCCTTTCTCACCCCGCCTTTGTGTTTCGCTGTGCTCCGTAATTACTCCACGAGTCCGTACAATGTGTTGCTCCGTAGACTGGTAGCACCTTCTCTCGTGAAGCTCAAAACGACCCTTGCTGTGTGGGAATGCACCTACCAATGCACCTTCCCGTTCGATAGCCGCAAACATGTGGATTGGTCCTGCCTCGAATGGGTGGGGGATACCAGACCTCCCCTGAAAGGCCTTCCCAGAAACGCCCCGTTGTCAATGTTGATCGAAACAACAAAACAAAGCATCGATCTCACGTTCTCAAAAATGGCTGGCATCACCGCAAGCAAGCAAATACCTCCTCACGGGCACTTCACATCGCATCGCAACTTTTCACCTCGTCGCAAACGATAAGAAAAGACTGTTTCGACAGCAAGTGCGACACACCAGCGCCAGCGCCAAAATAAGAGCCGGCCTTCGATCCCGCCATCTGTCTCTTCGATTTTGGCCCTTACCCTTCCTCCACTTGGTCGTGTTGTCCTCGCCGTCGCTTACTCCACTCACCCTGCATGCTCTGTTTCTTTTTTTGTAAGGGGTGCAAAAGGACGCGCAATTCTGACTCCCTCCAACGCTCCTAGGGAGGCTTGCTGGGCACCGGAACCAAGGCTGGGCACGTTCTCGGCGCAACTTTCTCCTGTGAATCCTTGACCATCAGTGAACATCCCGACCAAACCTGGAGCATCTTGTGAGCCTGGGCCTCCGAGTCTCCCTGGCACATATTTTCGGTCATCGAACTTTTGCGCCGTCGTTCCAGCTTTCCTTGTTCGAGCTTGGCCCCTCGCATGCTGGTCTTTGTTTCGCGCTGAGGCGCTCAAGGCGCCGTCTCCTGCTCTTCCTGCTCGCGCAACTGCCCTTGCAGTTATGACATCAGAGAGACCCGCTTAAACGCAAGAGCTCCATCCATCGGCCACTGTACCAGCTGTGCCCATCGGCTACCAACATTGGTCGATTTCGCCTTCGATCTCGCCTCTCCAGTGGGTCGGTGTACTCGGTACATTGATTGGCTTGGCCATTGTTACTCTACGGTCGCTGGACAACCTAGACAACCAGAGCAACGACAGCAACTAGCAAGAGAGACCAGATGAAAGGCGACAGCTAACAAAGACACCTGCTCCCCTGCAGAGGATGGCGATGGAGATGGCGATGGCGATGACGATGGTCTGCTAGTAGGTGAATCGACAACGCCAAGGGTCGCGGGATGTTTTCGTTGTGTCTTTGATGGCCCTTGGTAATGTCTCACTTCAAGACGTTGCAAAGGCATGCCAGCCCAGCCCTGCCACTTGTTGGGATTCTTGGTCAGTTCCGCCTGCCCTCTGAGTAGGGGGCCGGATTCCTCGGGCAAAGACAAAAGAGAACTCTGGGGTAACTTCCAAGTGCGCCAACGCCAAGTGACAAACCAAGGTCACCATCATGTCGATGTTTCGTCATCCTGCTCTAAGTCTCTCCTAGGTCTTTCTGCCCAAGCATCTCGCCATCGTCCGTTCCCGCGTGCTCATGCCAGGCCTCCCGCCACTTGGAACCTTTCTGATCGCCGGTCCTCGCAACCTTCTTTTCTTTCAATCCTGGTCTTATCCCATGCAACCGGTGTTGCCGTGGTCGCTCTAACCAGCTCCTTAATCATCTACCCTCTCCCTTTGTCAGGACCTTTCACTATTAAAGACGCTATCCTACCACCCTCCCTCTTCCCACTGGTTTATATTCTGGTCCTTCTTCGCTCTTCCTTCTCTTCCTTTTCCTTCTTCTCTCTTTCTACACTCACTCCAGTTTACCTGTCACTCGCTCAGTGCTCTATCGCTTCCATCCAGATCAACAGCAACGTTTTCGCATCTTTCACCTTTCACCATTCCCGCCACAAGTTAATATCGTTTCTTCGACTTTCAAATCGTCATCATGAAGGTCTCGTCGATCCTCCTTGCCCTGACTGCCGGCACTGTCGCCTACGCCCAGTCTTCGGGTGCAGCTCCGTCCTCTGGCGCCCCCGCCTCGTCGGCTCCTGCGTCTTCGGCCCCTGCTTCGTCGTCGGCCCCTGCCTCGTCGTCGTCGGCTCCTGCCTCGTCGTCGGCCCCTGCCTCATCGTCGGCCGTCTCGTCGGCTGCTTCGTCGGCTGCTTCGTCTGCCGCCTCTTCTGGCGCTTCCTCGGCTGCCTCGTCGGTTGCCTCGTCTGCCCCTGCCACAACCTCTAAGCCCGCCACTACTGGCGGTGCTGGAGGTGCCGGCGGCGCTGGCGGTGCTGGCGGCAACGGCACCACGCCCACTACCACGACTGGCGGCGGTTCTGGCGGCGCCGGTGGTGCTGGTGGCGGCCACGGCGGCGGCAACGGCACCTCGCCCACCACCACTGGTTCGGGCGGCGGCGGCAGCGGCGGCAACGGCGGCGCCGGTGGCGGCGGTATCACCCATGTCCCCACGGCTGGTGCCTCGGCCAACCAGGTCGGCTCCCTCCTGGTTGTTGTCGGCGCCGCTGCTGTTTACTACTTGTAAGCGAGCAACGCACTCCTGCAGAGAGTGTCGTTACTGCGTCAAGTAATAGCAATAGCAACCACAAACAAAATCGCATTGGCAAGACAAAAAATCGAACCCAGCCCATGAGACCAGCTTGCACCTCACGCCCCTACTTCGCAATGGGAAAGAGTGTTGTTTTGCTTTTCTCGGCAATTTAATATCGCCTTTTTTTGTGCTTGGTCCAAACCGCTCGGAGTTTTTTTTTTTCTGTCGGACTGGCGAATATGGAGTTTTAATTCATTAATATTGAGGTTTGCTCTCGTCTTGAAACAAGCGAGGGCCAGTCGAGTGGATGCGTCTTGTCTTATTCTTGAATAGACAAAGGCTCACTTGAACTGGTGTTGGCTCGCCTCGGCGTCGACACATCCTTACTCTCGGAGGGTCTCTAATTGGATGGATAGTTTTTGGTTTTTAACCACCTAATATTATATAGAAGACCATGCACAGATATTTGATTTTAATAAAACTGAAAAAAAAAAGGCCTTGCCTTGCTCTATGATATTCTACTCTAAATGGCCATTGTGATCCTAGCTCTTGGCGCATTGAATACTACACCTCCCGCCTGTTCTGTCGTATAATCAATTGCATTTCGTATCATTTCATAAGGTCCCGCCCGGTCTCATGCTTCATCCTTCCCAGCCACAAAACCACCAACGGCAAACGACGCCTCGTCGAGGAACCACTGCTGGACCTGCCGCAGCCGCTGCGTCCGCTCCGCGGCCAACCGCGCGCCCTCAGCTGTCTTCATGCGCTGGCCCACCACCAGCAGCTTCTCGTCAAAGTGGTCCAAGCTGTCCTCGAGTGTCCGCCCCTGCGCCTTGCCCGCCACGCCGGCCCTGGCTCCGTACGCAAAGCAGCGCGCCACGCCCACAGCGCCCAGCGAGTCGAGCCGGTCCGCGTCCTGGACCATGGCCAGCTCGGGCACCTCCTTGGCCAGCCGGGCCACAGCCGCGCGCGTCTCGTCCGACTTGTTCTCCCCCGACCAGCTGACATTTTGGCAAACCAGGACCACCTTGCGGCCGAGTGCGACCGCGTCCTCGGGCTCGGGGACGGCAGGCCCCGCAGACTCTGCCGCCGCCTGGACACACCGGTGAAACACGGCGGCCGTGGCCCGCGCGCCCGTGTCGTGGGCGAACGGCGTGTCCCGGACGAGGGCGTCAATGGCCTTGGCCTCGTCGTCGGAGGCGGGCGCGTACGCGGCGCTCTGAATGTACTTGCGGTCGCCGACGTCGTGCAGCAGGGCGGCCAAGACGGCCACGCGGGGGTCGGCCGGCGGCTGAGGCGAAGACGACGACACGTCCGCGCCCCGGGTTGTGTGCCAGATGTGGCGCGTTAGGCCGACCACGCGGCGGATGTGGTTGAAGTCGTGCGAGCCGTCGTACTGGGCCATGTGGACACGCACGGCGGCGGTGACGGCCTCGATGAGCGGGTCGCCCGTGAGCGAGAAAAGGTCGGCCATTCTGGACAGGGCACGCGTGCGGTTTGTCCTTTGCTCCCTCTTGTCAATCCTTTGTCTATGTTACTATAGACTGCCTGCCTCAGAAAAAAAGGGAGAGGCAGCGCACAACGTATGAGACAGCGCAGACGTCGTTGTTCGCTGTCGTCGTTCTTCCTCTTCTTAAATGTCTTTGACAGGGACCAAGGGCTAGGCAACGAAGAGCAACACGCCTGACGTACGGGCAGGTCTTGCCTGTCGCAGCCTTGTTGCTGCCTCGTACCACCAAGTTGCGTGAACTTGGCGTCACTCACTTACCCGCCTTGCCTGCCTCCCGTTGTGTCGTGCTTCACAGGTTCACAAAAGGGTTGCAGCTGTACTGGGTCCCGGCGGATGTCGGAGTGGCTTCCTTTGGACAGTGAGTCAACGCCTGCAGCAGATCGCTATGAGTCGCCCCTTGTCAGGCTTTCGTGTCTCGTGCCGACCAGTCCGGTATAGGTCTGACCAGTGGCGGCGAGCGTCAATGTTAATAACAGCGAAGAGGCTGAAGCACCTCTGTTGACCCAATAAAAGTAAACCTCTGTCGGATGACGAGCAAATACGGCTGGCGCGACTCAATGCCCGAGTCCAGACCGCCAAAGTGCCATGGTCCCCACTATTTCGGAAGGGGTCCACAGCTGACGCGAGAAGCCTAATGCGACGTACACGCAAAACAAAAACTCGAGTCTTCTTTCTCGTGAGGCTCTGCTATTCATAAGCTTTGCTATGCATCAAGCTGTGCTGTTTGTCTTTCCTTGTAAGTTATACACTATGAAACATTGGCGTACTTTTCACATAAATTTATTCGAAGATTTACGCTTTACTAGATTAAAAATATAAAAATTTAATAATCGATAACGTTCATTCGACTTACAGATATTTCTTGTACGTTTTCAAATGGTTTTTTTTCTCTCACTCTTCCGTTTTTTTGTCAATTTTCAATGTTTTACATCACCTGTCTACAACCCATCTTCTTCACCAACCTCTTCCTCTTCCTCTTCTCATTCTTATTTGTTGATTGTTGTTGCCCCCTTTTACCCCTATGTGACGACCAACGTATTGCGTGCATACCCGCCGGCACTACGGAGCTGAAAACGACGATGTGCCGTGGTATGCCTGGCCACGTACCCGCACTTTGTCCATCGTAAGGGATTTGGACAATCCGTTTGCCATCACACGCTGGGAACAGTGAGAACCGAGACATTGTGCAGATTCTGTTCTCGCGATGGTGTGCAGAAACATGGTCATGCGAGGTGCCGAACTCAAGGAGACGCGAGGAGCACTATTGTCAAAGTGGAGAAATGCAAAAAAGGGAAAGAAACCCGACAGACAAACAACCGAATGTGAATTTGAATGCGTGGCCTGGGTTCTTGACACGAGGAATGAGGACTGTTCCGGGGGCATTTCGGCAGGCAAGATATACATTCCAAGACCAGAGACCGAGAATATCCAGTCAATTGTATGGTTGTAGCGGCGGCTATTTTTCGTTTGTTCTGGTCGTCATCCTCTGGCTCTAACGATCAGATTAGAAATGGAGGGAGCAGACGAGACCGTGCGCAGTCCTCTCTCCGGTTTCTCTCCATTATCCGCTCTGGTCTCGTGATAAAACCGACTCTCGCGGCAGACGATGCAGCTGCAGGACCAAGAGCACAGATGCAGCGGCCTGCGAGTTCTTCCACTTGGCAAAAACACGTCTCTCTCACTCTCCCTCGCAGTGTTTCCCTTTACAAAGTAATTTATTCCTACCCAATGATGGTACGCAGTTTTTTGTGCCGGGTACGACCGTGGTCTCAGCAATAGGGGATGAACAACAAATCTGGAGTGCCAGCCGCCTGGGCGTGCTTTACTTCGGAGACGAAGACGCTGGTCAATCGGCTGCACGCTCTACCCGCCCGTTAGACATCACTTGCATAGAGCTTGCCGAGAAGCATCTTGAAAGAATTCTCGCACGGAAGTGGAAGTATTCATGGCAAACAAAGCAAAGTCGACAAGCCTACGGAGGCAACACTTGGTAACAAGAGAACGTCCAACAGAAGAAATATGACAAGTGAAAAAAAGGCAGAAAAGATGATGAGAATTGCCCAGAGAATCCTACTCATCTCTTTATCGTTTGGTTGTTCTTTTCTTCATCTTTTTCATCATATTCTTCTCTTTTGTCTCCGTCCGAGATGCTGGTCTGGCCTGTCTGACTGGCCACCTCTGTCTTTTCTTCCATAAATAGAGGAAGTGGCTCAAAACATAGCCCAAATAAAACTACGGAGTACGCAACATAACACGACACCCATCGGACCGTGGCCGCATACTGCGGCCGCATTTAGTCTCATATTCTCTCGGTCTCTCGTGTTATTCGTCTCCTTTTGTCAAGATCAAAAGTGACCGAAAAGGAGAACGTAAGTTCATTGTATTGTGCTCTGCTTGTCCGCCGGACTTTCGGCTTCTTTAGAACTTGATTGTGTTTGTATGCCGATGCAGACAAATGACAGGTAGACCGAATGATGGCCTACAGTTGCATGTTGATGAAAACAAAGAGACCAGAGAGAGTGTGTGATGAAGCACAATACGAAATGTGGAGACTCACACTTTCCTACGCCATGATTGGCCAAATGTTTTATGGAGACCTCAAAAAGTGGATCCATATCCCGCGCAGCCAATCCGCGGGCCGCTGTAACCCCTGCTGGAGAGGTGCACACTGGGCGGGCACCGGCCAATGGCAGCGCAGAGTTAGACGCCCTCGGTCTTGCCTTCCCCATGCTTTGCATCACCTCTTTCCTTTTGGACCAAGCAGCCAATGTAATGCCTGCCTGCTCCTTGTATCTTTTGCTTCCGTATCTTGTATCCTTTTCTAATTCTGTCTCTTCTCCTCTCCTACGCAGCACTGCATCCTGCATCCACGACCAGGTTTACCACCCTTTCCGTACTCCCTCTCCTTGTCCCGTCCGTGCCTTTGCTCGACCGTCGACCTCGACCCCTGTCAGCTGGCCCCCCATCACAGCACTCGAATAGCCGCCGAACGTGCAGTAGCTCCCTTTTGACCCGTCGTTCTTTTTTGTCTTCTTTGGCTTTCCTCTTGTGTTTTATTTTTGCTTTCTATTTGTCTGCGATCACTTTGTTTGCTAGCCTGCTCCCTCTAACGTTGCCCCTGTCCCATGCTCCTCGTCGCCCATCCTCCCGCTGTGATATCGATCTAGTCGGGACTGGCGCTCCCTTTGGAAGTGAGGCTGGATAGCAAGTCTTTGGCAATGTGACGACAAATCCAGGCCTTGAATTACCCTTCTGGACGTAGCAAACCCTGACACGCGATTTTGTTTGTTTGTTTCTTTATTTTTGTCAGTACTTTGCGCGCCCCCCCTCTCTGTCATCCATCACCCCTGCCACATCCTCTTATTGGTCCTTTGTCGATTTCGTCACGCATGTCATTTTATTCTGAAGACAGCACTCGCGTCGGGTCTCACTCCGTCTCTTTCTTCCCCCAACTCTAGATCCTTGTCTTCATCTGCAGACATAACATGAGCATCTTGTGGTCCTCTCGAATTCGCGCCGCGCAGGTCGTGCAACGCTGCATGCAGAGTACGGCAATGTGATGACCGGAAAAGGCCATTTTCGCTATTACTCTTCGACAAACATATTCCGCCAAGCTCATCAACTGACTCCCCACCACACTGCCGTTGCCCATGCCTTAGCATGCATGCTGTGTGCATTGGCAGAGTTGGGGGCGGCTATGCGGGTCTAGGACAGGGAGCGAATGGGAGACGGGAAAAGGAAAAGAGAGCGACGTGACAGACTAGACAGTGAGTCGTCTGTAAAACCACGACCATCGTCTCGAGGTGTGGGTGGGACTGGCCTTGCCAACCGGCCACCAACGGACCCTTCCACCGAATGGTCCTGGCCGCCCGCTGTCCGGCCTTTTCTCATTTCCTGCCAACCCGTTATATAAATCGACTTGCCGCCCGCCTTCGTTCTGGTTTCCTCTTCTTCTCTTTTTCTTTCTTCAGCAAGTTTTTCATCTTCAAAGGCCAGTTGTTGTTTGTTCCCGTGTTTCGTTTTCCTCTTTCCGCTTTCTCTCTCACTCTCCCCTTAGAGCCGGTCTCTATCCTTAATTACACTCTCACTCTCAGTCTCTCACAGTCACTCGACAACACACAAATCTCAAAAGTACTCAGTTCGCCGGTCGTTCTGTGTCTTTCTAATAAACAATTTCTGCCTTTTCCTTGCCCAACCAAACTCGCAGTTCTTGTTCCGGTAACAAGAACGACCTCAAAAGTCTTATTTTCTTGTTCTTCATTGAACCAGGAAAAACTTGTCCATCTTTTTTCAAAGATTACCATTCTTTTCAGAATTTAATTGGATTTTTTTCGTCCCTACTTTTTTCGACTTTTTTCTTTCGACTTTACACCCCTTTTTTATCACTCAAAACCAACCCTTCTTTCCAGTCAAAATGTCGTCCGTCCAGCTTTCCTTCAACCTCCGCGTCTCTTCCAGCGTCAAGACCGTGCACCTGCTCGGCTCCTGGGACAACTACGTTGGCCAGCTCCCCCTGTCCAAGGACAAGTCCGCCTCCAAGTCCGGCTCGTGGAAGGGCACCTTCCGCTTCCAGGGCGAGACCCTCGAGGCCGGCCAGCGCTACTGGTACTACTACATCATCGACGGCTACCATGCGTCGCACAACCCCAGCGAGAAGTCCACGCTCGAGCCCACCACCGGCCGTGAGCTGAACGTTCTTGATGTCCCCAAGGCCAAGTCTTCGTCGTCGTCCTCCAAGAGCTCGTCCCACAAGTCGTCGTCCTCGTCGTCGTCCTCCCGCCACTCCAGCAAGGACAAGAAGCGCAGCTCGCGCTCCGAGATCCCCAAGGGCCGCCCGCTGTCCACCTCGCAGATCAAGTGCCCCAAGCCCCAGTCGCCCCACGCCACCCGCAACATCCTGACCGCCGACTACGACATGTCTGCGCTCTCGGAGCAGTTCGCCGCCACCGGCATCGCCGAGGAGGAGTACGAGTACGAGTACTCGGAGGAGTCTGCCTACGTCACCGCCGAGTACGGTGTCCTCAGCGGCTCGGACCTGTCCTACTCGTCCGACGACGCCAGCAGCATCAGCTCTGGTACCCACTCGAGCATGTCCGGCTACAGCACCCCCAGCTCCGACATCAGCTCCTGCACCTGCGAGCGCTACGGCATCACCCGCAAGGGCGACCGCGTCCGCATCGACTGTGGCGGTACCCGCTGCGGCTACGAGGACGAGTGCTCGTCGTCTGAGGATGAGGATGTCTGCGCCACCTCGTCGCGCCGCAACGGCATCATTGTTTCGTAAATGAACCATCTGCTGCTGCTGCTATGGCTGTTGCTGTTCTTTAATGATGACGATGATGAACCATGAGACGAGATGACGATGATAATGACTTGACGATTGAAAGAATGACCCCACGCCAACTCATGACCAAACAAATAAAGGGCCGCGCCGCTTTACTTGGAAAGCGCGCCTTTTTTGCTTGTCTGCAAGGGGGCATTCGCATCGACAGGATCATTTGTTGTTGCCATCGCCCCAAAGGGAATCCCTCGCGAGCGTCTGCCTCTTTTGCTGCCGTCGCTCTCTGACCCTAATGCGGCTCGTTTCTCTCCTTATCGAGCCGCGGAAAGAAGAAAAAAAATCAAATCACCCTTTGAGAAGAAGAATAAAAGGGAATGAACGAATGAAAAGCACGAAAATCAAGAGAAGAAGAAAAGAGAAGGAAAATTCAACCCATGAAAAGAAAAAGTAAGAAGAGGATCCGACGGCAAGTCCTCTCCACCCGGATTGCCTGCCCACCATCCTTGTCCGCTTGGATAAGTTTTGTTTTGTTTCATTGCCTCAAAAGAGAGAAAGAGAAGAAGAATGAACCGCCTTCCCATCAATATTTCATTACACGCACTTCGACTGGATCCTGTTTTTGTCCTGCCTCTTTGATGGACACGACAGGTCGGCCTAGAGATGTGTCATGCACTCCTCTCCTTGCCCAACTTTCCGCTGTGGCCAGAGACGAGAAAGAAAGATCAACGAGCTGGTCCCGTTGTTTCTTTCCTTCTCTGCTTCTCTGTCTTGCCACTTGGAAGACTCAAGCCCTTCAAGAGAGAAGTTTGTGTGTGCTCGTCTTGCTTGACCATCTTGCTTTCTTGAGAGCGAGCCGTCGACGCGTGCCTGCCACTTTTCCCTTAAAATGCAGCATTTGACGACAACACCAGAGAAAATAACAAACAAAACAGACCAAAAAAACTGCTTTTCGTGTCTCTTTTTAACCCTGCAACACACCTTCCCCATTTTCATACTTCCTTTTTTTTGCCAACCTCCCCAAACCAACCAATACAAGCTGGGTCGATGCTGCGACCCCTCACGGGAAACAGGACCTTCTTTTCGAGAAGAGTTTCTGCCTCTCGTTTGTCTCATCTCCCCATTTTGCCATTGCGTTGCTTTTTTTTCTTTTTGCCATTTTTGTCTTGAAGCATCATTTCTTTGATCTGCCTGCATTGTGGACTTACCATGTCTACACTGCACAGATAATATTTACCCTGTCAATCTGCCGAGGCGCTGGTTGTTTCTTTTTCTTTTGTGTAAGGGGACACTCTTTTACCAAAAAAAAAAAAAAAAAGAAACCAGACCTGCCGAGGACAAATGTCAATAGTTTCTTGGCCTCAGGAGTGAGCAACGTGCCGCCTGAGCCAGCCAATAGATACCATAAAAGATACCGCCTTGTCAAGAATAATTCGAGATGGGTAGAGGACGCTTGAACCTATTCATTCAAAGTTAATTTCCACCAAATTGAATGTGACCACAATTGTGACGATGAAGGTGATCGGTGTTGATGCAAATGCGGTCTCAGGTTAGACCAACTTGTTCAGATGCTGCCGTATCTTATTTCCCTATTTGGTTCTCGTTGCTCACCGCAAAGGACGTTTGACCATGTCGCCTTGCCCACCTCGCCTTGCCCACCTCGCCTTGCCCAAAATAACCCGCCGTCTCGCCCCAGACTACCCGATTGGTGTCAGCTTAAAAAGATTGCACCAGTCGTGAAAGTTGCATAGCTTTCCCTCTACGCCGCCCGCCTTGTTGCGGTTTTGGGGGAAGTTGGTGCTTAACAACAACCGAAGGGGAAAAAGTGGATGGCGGGACGTAGCTTCGGGTCTCGGTGTAAATGGGTGCGTGTGGGGTGGGCTCGATGGACGACAGAGACGATTTCAATTTGAGAGAAGAAATCAAGAATTTCTGAAGTTCTTCATCTTTGAAATTTCTGTTCACCCTTTTTACCTCTTGTTTTAATTTTGCTAAAAACAGCAGTCACGGTACTTTGCTCATTCGTTCCTTCCCTCTGCACACACCTCGCCCCTGAACAGCGGGGTCGCTCTGTCCGTTTTGGATCTGCACCGCCAACTGCCAGCTCCAGCACACAGAGCCATACAAAGAGAACAGGGGCACACCGCAGAAACGCGACGCCAACCCCGCGCCGTGCCTTCCCAATCCAACGGCCTGACCGTTACGCCTCGACAAAGCGGAAAAGGGGCAATTCGTCTCCAACAACGACATACGACATACTGTTTCTTCGCATAGTTGATAGACTGCACCATACACACAGCATGTCTTCCTACGATTCACCGCCGTTCATTGTGGACTCGCACATCCACCTGTACGATGCGGACGCCCTGGACGGCCTAAGCTGGCTCAAGAAAGGCGACCAGCTGTACCGCCCATCGAATGTCAGCGACTATGTGAACGCCGTCAACAACAAGCTGGATAAGGTGGAGGAGGGGGTGGAGAAGGAGAAGGAGGACGAGGAGGGAGACAAAGAAGCTGAGGCCGACGAACCGCCGTCGGGTCCCCGTGTGGGCTACATTTTTATTGAGACCGACCGCAAGAACGGTACCAACGGCGACGACTGGACAGGACCCCTCGAGGAGGTGGCCTACCTGCGCCGCATTGTCGAGGCCGAGGCCGAGGCCACCACGTCGGTCACCTCGACGCAGGCCCGCTGCCTTGCCATTGTGCCCTGGGCGCCGGTCCACGCGGGGCCCGAGGCGTTGGAGCGCTACCTCGCCCAAGTCGAGGAGACGGCCGGCCCGGTGGTTTGGCCGCGCGTCCGCGGTTTCCGCTACCTGGTGCAGGACAAGCCGCACGGCACGATGCTGACGGACGCGTTCGTCGAGTCTCTGAAGCTGCTCGGCCGCCGCGGCTTCTCGTTTGACCTGGGCATCGACCAGCACCGCCGTGGGCGCACGCAAATGGCCGAGGCGGTGGCGCTCGTCGAGAAGCTGCACGGGCCCGAGAGCGGGGTCGCAGAGGCTGACAAGGTGGTGCTCATTGTCAACCACATGGCCAAGCCCGACATTACAGTTCTGACGCCGCACGCGGACCGCGGGTTCGCGGCGTGGCGCGACACCATGTTCACGCTGGCCAAGACGAGCCCGGACCACATCTTTATGAAATTGTCGGGCCTCTTCACCGAAGCGCCCCCGGCCCTCTACGCACAGGAGCCGACGGCGTTTTTCGCGGCCACGTACCCGTGGCTGGCCGTGCTGCTGGCTGCGTTTGGGGCGTCGCGGCTCATGTTTGCCAGCGACTGGCCGGTGTGCACGCTGCCGTACGGCAAGAAGGACCCCCCGGCACCCGAGAAGCCGCGGACGCCGGGCGAGGTGAGCGCGTGGAACAAGTGGCGCAGCGTGGTGGCGTACCTGAGCTACATGGCGACGCTGGACGAAGACGATGTGGCGATGCTGTGGGCCGGCACAGCTGTCAAGGCGTACGGTCTGGAAAAGAAGTAGAGGCATACGACGACGGCGAGAACAAGAAAAACATGGAATGTTATGACGAGATTTACAATGTACTTTATTTCCGGTCAATCCCTTGCCAGGCACGACGTTTGCGATTCAATATCCGTCCTCTTGTGGCGTACTTTCTGTGAAAACGGGCTGCATATGACATCAGCCGCGGCCTCTGGGCTGTGGCCACATTGGCACACGCCGGGTCCTCAAGCCCTGCGAAATACAACGTCAAGGCGTCGTGGTCTATCCCCGGCCACTCTTCCACTCTCTGTAGGCGACCCCCAAGGAGTGCACCATAATCCGCTACGCTGGCCACGGACTGCAGGGCTGCAGTCACGAAAATCCAGCCGATATGACGCTCGAGCAGCGGCGGGATATGCTCTCAAAGATGCCCCCAATGCTCACTGATTTCTATGGATATCATTGTCTTGTAATGCCGTTGAGATTTGCTCAGCAATGTCGCTGAGGGATTTAGAATCCTAATGTCATAGGCTATGTATACATGCTTTGATGCACCATGTTCCCGTGTAAAGAGAGGGGATGCCAACTAAAGCAGATAACGTCGCATCCGGCTCGACCCTTCGCCGCATGCACCGGCGCTAAGAGGCGCATTTTCATTCGTCTCTTCTTAGGACGAGAAACGGAGGACGTGTGAAAAGCATCTCCCTGCAGCACACGACACCACTTCAGCCCGGGCTTATGATAAAATTTGGCCTTTCGTGGCCAATAGTTACGGTCAGGACGTGTGATGGGGGCAATGTTGCGCCCAACCAGTGGTTACGAAATTTAAATGCAAAAATTTCGAACTGGTGAAATGCACATCATAAACGTGTAAAAGTGTAGTGGAGGGTACCGGAAGAAAACATCGAGGCAGTGCTCTTGACGAGGAAGCGATTCATTTAAGGTGTCTTTTTCTCGCCTTCGTATTTCGATCCCATTTGCCCCCGTCTCTCGTTTATGTCGACATCAAGTCAAAACTGCTGTCTGCTTTGTCTGTGTAACGTTTTTACAATGTCGAACAGGCCGTTGTGCTTGCTCGCTCTGGGTACGTATTTGTTTTGTAGCAAGCCTCGGTACTATTACTGGTGGCTTTCTTCCCGTTATATTAACTGATTTTCATGCAGATGGCGGAGGCATCCGAGGCCTCTCTGAGCTTCTTATCCTCGAAGAGATTATGTCACGAATTAAAACCGACTTGGATATGGACGAGGACCCTCTCCCGGCCGACTTTTTTGACTTGATCGGCGGCACGTCCACTGGGGGGTAAGGGCCATGCAACAAAGGAAGATGTATCTTACGTACAAGCAACTGTGGAGCAACACTAACGCCTGTACGACGACAGCCTTATTGCCCTTCTACTCGGACGCCTGCGCCTTTCGGTGCCACAGGCAAGGCGGGAATACGTCAAGATCGCAAATGAGGTCTTCTCTATCAAACGGTTCTTCGACAAGTCCAAGTTCGACGGGAAAACGTTGGAAATGGCCGTAAAGCAGGTTCTCCAGAAGACGCTTGGTCCTGGGCGCGAGTCGGAAAGAATGCTGGATCGCGCCAAACCCACCTGCGGCGTGTAAGTGATGCAACTCGTAGTCGATTCATTTCATGTTCATTGTTCTCTTACTCGTCTTTGTTACCGTTCTCCCTTTCTAACGTGTTCCCCTGTGCCATCTCTTAGGTTCGTGTCCGCTGTCTTACAGCAAGATACCCAGGCTCGGGCCGGCCCGACCCTCTTCCGAACGTACAAAGTACGAGAACATGCCACATACGACTGCACAATCTGGGAAGCGAGTCGTGCCACGTCGGCCGCGCCCGCGTATTTTGATGCCATTGCTATTGGGGAGCCCGGCGAGGAGGAGGTTTATATCGATGGCGGGCTCGGGTACAACAACCCCATCGAACAGGTGCTCGAGGAAGCGCGACGACAGTTTCCCCTGCGCAAGGTGGCTTGCATTGTCAGCATTGGCACGGGCCTCGCTCGCGAGATCCGGTTCCCGGACACGCCCAAGACAAACTGGTCGAAGCTGGTCCACGCGCTGAAGAAGATGGCCACGGAGTCGGATACAACCGCCGAGCGCGTCCAGGCGCGGTACCGCGAGGCGCACGACACGTACTTCCGCTTCAGCGTCGACCGTGGTCTCGACAACATCGACCTGGCTGAATGTGAAAAGATTTCCGATGTGCGAACCTATACGACTGGCTATATGCGCCAAACGGTGGTGTCCGCCCAAATCAATTCCGTTGTCCGGGCCTTACTAGCATCGAAGGCGGAGCCAGGTCCAGATACATCCACATCCATGATCCCTGTCTCGACTCCCACGTCGGCTTCTGTCTCTGGGGCGGCTGGTTCTCAGAGACCGCCGCAGATGCTTCCTTGGAATTCCACTAGCGAAACAATGACCGACATCCATTACAAAGTCGAAGACGTTGTTCCCACGAGTATGTAACTACTGTTTGAGGAGAATATAATAATTTATGTGTTTTACTATGCTTGTTCGTACTAATAAAGCACTTAAGTTCCACCCCAACATCAACGCGCAAGTATGTTAGTCCACACAGCAAAGGTTCGTGCCTGGTCGGTCCCGTTCGAAAAGAACCCAGACTTCACGGGCCGCGAGTCGGAATTCAAAAAGCTTCGTAACGCTCTTTTCACAAAGGAGCAGACAGCCAAGGTGGCCGTCGCCGGCCTGGGTGGGATCGGCAAGACACAGCTAGTACTGGCCATGGCCTATCATATACGAGACGAATTCAAGGACTGTGGTGTCTTGTGGATGCCATGCACTAGCCGAGAAAGCATCGAAAAGGCCTTTGCCGTTGCCGCCAAGGAGCTCAACATACCCGGCGCCGAGAGCGACAAGGCGGACGCAAAGGCACTCGTGCGGGACCACTTGAGTAAAGAGAGTGCAGGCCGGTGGCTCTTGGTGTTTGACAACGCCGACGACATCAGCGTATGGTTTAACCAGGCGGCCGGGGAGTCTGGCCGCCTGATTGACTATCTCCCAAAAAGCCAGCACGGATCCATCATCTTTACGACGCGTGTTAAGAAGGAGGCAGTACGACTTACCGGTCGGAACATAATCGAAATGTCAGCAATGGACGAAGACGGCGGCAAGCAGTTGTTACGAAATTACTTACTTGACAAGGACCTCGTCGACAACCGAGAAGATACGGCGGCCTTGCTCGCGCGGCTCACGTACCTCCCGCTGGCCATTGTTCAAGCCGCGGCATACATCAACGCGAACAACATCAGCTTACGAGACTATCTGTCACTCCTCAACGAGCAAGAAGAGGAGGTGATTGATCTCCTGAGCGAGGATTTTGAAGACGAATGGAGATATCGCGACGTGCAGAACCCAGTGGCCACAACCTGGCTTGTCTCCTTCGGGCAGGTCCGGCAGCGCGACCCTCTTGCAGCGGACTACTTATCCTTTATGGCTTGCGTAGATGCAAAAGACATCCCGCCGTCGCTTCTTCCGCCCGGCCCGTCACAGAAGAAGGTGATAGACGCGATCGGCACCCTACAAGGCTACTCGTTCGTCGCGAAACGGTCTACAGACTCGGCGATCAATATCCATCGACTGGTGCACTTGGCGACGAGGAACTGGCTCCGGAAAGAGGGGCTGCTGGCCGATTGGACCCTCAGAGTCATCGCAAGACTAGCGGAGGTATTAACGCCTATCAACCAGGAAAACAAAGAAATATGGAGGCCATTAATGCCGCATGCATATCACACGCTCGGGATAAGCCGCGGCAACGAAGAAGTTAAAGAATACGTTGACTTATTATTGCGGTATGGTATTTGTCTCTACTCTGATGGGCGGTATAACGAAGCAGAAATACCGTGTAAAAAAGTGATGGAGACTCGCAAGACGCAACTCGGGGTCGACCATCCCGAAACGTTAAAAAGTATGGGACACGTTGCGTGTACATATTGGCATCAGGGCCGGTGGGACGAGGCCGAAAAGCTGGATGTGCAGGTGATGGAGACTCGTAAGACGCAACTCGGGGTCGACCATCCCGAAACGTTAAAGAGTATGACTCACCTTGCGATGACGCTTTGCAGTCAAGGCCGGTGGGACGAGGCCGAGAAGTTGGAGGTGCAGGTAATGGAGACGAGTATGAAGAAGCTCGGGGCCGACCATTTCATTACGATAATGAGTATGAGCAGCCTTGCGTCTTCGTTTTGGAATCAGGGCCGGTTGGACGAGGCTGAGAAGCTTGAGGTGCAGGTAATGGAGTCTCGTAAGCGGATACTCGGGGCTGACCACCCCTACACGTTAACGAGTATCACCGACCTTGCGTTGACGATTGGGGATCAAGGCCGGTTGGACGAGGCCGAGAAGTTGGAGGTGCACGTATTAGAGACGAAAAAGACGGTACTCGGGGCCGACCATCCCGAAACTTTAGCGAGTATGTACAACCTCGCTTTTACTTGGAAGTCACAAGGTCGTGATATAGAGGCCTTGGCATTGATGAAGGATTGTGCTTTAGCTCGTCAGCGAACACTTGGCCCAGAGCATCCATATACTATAGTATCCATGGATACTCTGGAAGAATGGAGTTAGATGTCAGAGGTCTTAGGGATAGGGGTTATCAATTAGAGAGGATCTTGAGCAGGCGATTCGAACATAAGTGTACTGGCATATCCCACCCAACACTACACCTAATGAATCTATATGGAGATTCAACGAGGTTTCACCACAGGTGGCCGGGACGCAATCACCTGACCAGGAGGTGCGTCCTACTGCCAGCTGGTAAAACACTGCCAGCTGGTTAAGTGCCTCCCTCTTTCCGGACACAGACTGTCCCGGAACGACGCGTACAAAGGGTGGCAGTAGGTCTCTAACCATCGCACGAGTTTCGTTCGACCTCTTCTTCCGTTCACTTTTATTGTTTCGCCATGACTAACGAGATTTGCAGACACTATGTCGTACAGAGTACGGAAAGGATCAAGTATGACACAGAGCGGCACAGCCTCTTCTTGAGCATCCTTGAACGTCCTTGACCGGCATTTTCGCCGGGACTGTCTGGATAATCAGCAACTGGTAACAGGCAACGACATCGGGGATATGAAGGGTATTGGGGAAATCGGTGGAAAAGGGACGAGACAAAAAACCGTTATGGCTCACAGACGTGGAGAGACATTTGCCGCGTTTGGTGCAAGACAGACGACGTCAACATGATGAACGTCCAGGATGGCAGGGCGGCAGCACATCGAGTTCTCCGCAATACTTGACCCTCTTCTGTTGATTTTTACATTGTCCCTTCCCTTCACTTCTTCACCCTTTAATCTTGAAAAGTCAAGTCCGGAGAAGAGGGAGCGTGCGGATATCCGGTCGTTGAAACTGACGTCGTAATGATTATTCCTACATGTCTTGGATTCCTCACTTCGTGTCGATCTTCGGGACTTGGGATGATACGAATGAGGATATGAATACTGAGTAATATGAATGGACATATAAGGCGTCGACAAGCAGAGAAAGACGACAGACATGGTCAAAGCAGAGCACAAGATATCGAGATACACGGGCGACCTCCAGAGATTTGCAAGTCCGGGGATAAACCACTGTTTTGGGCGAAATGATGGAGTATGTTGTAGATGTGAAGTGAGACAAAGTTTGGTAGATGTGAGACAAGACGAAGAGAATGAAAGAAAAGAATGAAAATAAGGCAAGCATAAAGCAATCTGAGCCAGTGAAAACGACTTGCGATGACCAAGACGTGTCTCACAGCACAAAGACGGATCAACGATACGAACGGAGAACAGATGAGGCGACGTGATGGTAAAAGGTAGAACGGGAAGATATAACAGATAAAAAAATATAGAAATCAAAACAGAAACACAGAAACCGAAAATCTACATCTCCGACAATCCGCCATGCCAACTCAGCGCATCACAGCGCACCCAAACCAAGCCCACAGCCAATGTCCATCCACATGTGCCTCGCAGTAGTCACTCAACTCACCGCCTAGAATTATATAAAAAAAGACTAGAGAAATGATTCCTATCCGTGGGGAAAGCTGTGCCTTGTGACATGCTCTGTGATATCAGGCCCTTGGTGCTTTCCTGTCATTTTCTGTCATTGGCCCCGTGTACACAAGTGTAGGTCTGTTTCTCACAAGCATGTCCAGTTGCACTATCTTGTCCAAGACGATGCTGACGTTTTTCTTTCTGTTTTGCATCTTTCATTGTGCTATGACTGCCGAACCTGACCAAGAGGAGCTAATGCCGGCGCTATGGCACGAAATACAGGCACGATAGGCACCAAGTACGCTAAAATAGCCAGACCAGGCCCAACCAGGCCCGGGTGCATGCTCAGCAACCACTAGACGCTAGCGCTGTAATAGGGAACGGCGCGCCCCCTTTGATCATTTTAGCGCATGATGCAGCCGCTTCATGCTCCAAGTTCTCGCCTCTGAATCTGGCCGTCGATTCCGGCTGGCAATAACCAACCGACTCACCGAGTAATTAATACTCCAGACTTTATCTGCCTGATCGCACTGACTTTTACCCCGGGGCGATTTGATACCGTGCTCCACAAAGACGGTCCATGCCCAAAGATACGCCGTACGCTCTCGTATATGCATGTCGCACTCGTGCTTTGTTCATGATGCTAACGAGAGTCGACAAAGAGCGGCGCAGTATTCCAGGTTGTTGCATCCGAGAAACTACAAGAGGATGACTGGAATTGTAGGATGTTCGTAACGATATCAGCGACCTCGGGCAAGCTGTTGTAAGATCCATGTTGGCGATGGTTGTTGCCATTTTGTGAGACGCCAGTCCACGTCCATCTCTCTCTTTCTGATTTCCTGCTGTTCCTACTTCTTTTACTCTTTCTTACTTTCTTACTTTCTTACCGTTCCTTTGTCATCCGACTCGTCTCTAGACAAAGACACCCACCAGTCAAATGCCGCCAGCCGCTGTAGCTTGGGACTGCGGCGGGATCGGGCAAACGAAACAAACGAATAAACGATCAGCCGGGCCTGAGCGCCAACGAACGCAAAGCTGCTACAGGAGTCAGACCGCTTCTTTGCCGGCTTGATTCAGGTTTTTGGCGTCTGCCTCGTCTTTGGCTTGTCTTTGGTCTGATTTGCCGCTGTGCTCCTGCTCGCTGTCCTCACCCCTTTGGAATTTGGTGACGAGTCGTGGCGGGTCGCTCGATGAGTGGTTGAGGTGACGGCGCGTCCTCGTTCGCAACGTCGTTTTATTCGTGTGCTCAGCGTGGAGTACGAGTAGTAGCTCGCAAAAGCACTCCTTGGGTGATGTCTGCTACCAGGCTGAACAGTGACTGGAGTGACACTGATGGGCAATCTCGTACTATCTGCAAGGGAGCAGGGCGAGTGATGACTGGGCAAAAGGATTTCGTGCGACACTCTGTAATTGATGAAAAGATGTGACGAGAGTAGGCTGTGCACGAATATGGCGTGACAAAGCACGTATCTGACAGCGTAGAAGAGGATGGCCGTACGCCGTAGACAAATCAGACATGAAGAATATGTGATGAGAAGTGACTGGAAGAGAGAGATGAAAGCAGAGAAGGAGAAAGCGAATCAGAGCCAGAATGTCCTGTGATGGAAAAGTGACGAAGGCGATGGCAAGAATCAGAAAAGAAAGCTGCGTTGGAGCTCATCCATACAGAAGTAGGTTTCTTTGTCATTCTCGTCGTTTCTTCGTTTCGTCTTTTTTTTTGTCATTTTATCTTCACACCCACTTTACACCTACTCTCTACTACCGCTTCCGCCGGGGACGTTCCCGACTGCGACAGAACCACTCCATAGGCATCTCCTTCGTTTCTTCTTCGGTAAAATCGCAGGGGGGTGTCTCCACTGATGATTCGGACACACCCAAACTCCTTGACCGCATTCCTGCGCTTCAGCTTCCCCAGCCATTGCCCCAGCACTTGCCCCAGTCTTTTACGGAGCATTTTGAGCTTTCCCCAGAAAAATCAAAATAAAGGAGACCGTTTTAGTATTGTTGCCGACCTGTCTGATTTCTTCCATCCCCTTCTCTCGTCCTTCCTTTCCCCCTTTCCCCGTCAATTCCGTCGGGATGGATACTTTGCCCCATAAAATATCCGTTAACTCACCGAAGCAAAATACGATGTAATAGAATAATAGATTTGTAGGTCTTACAAAAATAAAAATAACCACAGAACAAACAAGGGAGGAAGGAACGGGATGACCTGAAAAACATGGAATGGCTCCTTACCTTCGTGTTCCGCCGCCCGCAGCCAGTTGCCAGTTGCACCTGCCCCCGTTACTTTGTTACACGACATGGGCCAAACAAAGAAAAAGGACACGAGGAAGGACGTGGGGCAGGGGCAGTGGAAGGAGCGAAGGAGGTACGGGACAACGCAGAAAGGCAAAACGTAAAAATATCCAACGTGGAATATTCATATTCATACCGAGTGACACATCAAGACCAAACAAGCAAGGCCCCGTCCCGTCCCAGCTCAGGCACAAACAAAGAAACGTCTCGCCTTCCCTGGCACTTCTTCGGCTCGCCAACGGGCGACGGGGAGCTGTTCCTAGGTTCCCGCAAGACACAACATACCTTGTCTACAATTTTTTTTCTTTTCTTTTTATTTCTTTTATCATAGTCATCAGCAACAAACCGAACACCAAACGCAAACGCAAACACATTCACTCTTCTCGGCTTACTTACACGCCCCCAAACAACTCTCCACACCCTTCGATCCGCTCCCCCCTTTCCTTCACGCCCCATCTTTTTTCTCTCCTTTTCTTTTATCACCACTACTCCATACTCCATACTCGTCCTCCATTCTCCCTCTGTGCGATCGCGACGTCACCTCTCGCTCCCCCATCTTTCCCATTTCCTTCCATCCATCCTTTGCTTGTCTCCCTCGTCTCCCTCTGACCCCCAGCAACACCCCACCGTTTGCCCCCATTGCCCCCATTGCCCCCATTTGCCTTCCCTTCTCCCTTTTTCCCACCCCCAACTTTCCTAGAGAACAGAAAAATCTTACTTCAAAACAAATACACCGTAGTACTCCGTACACGCAAACTGGCCGTGCTTGCCTACAAATACGTTCTCCTTACTCTTTTAGTCCGGTCACTCGTTTTCCTGTCTTTCACTTTTTTTCCGGCAACATCGTCACTTTTTACTTGGAACGTATTCTCATACTCTGTCCTCTGTCCGCCTCGTTTTCAGCTTTCATCCCAACTTGATCCCCTTGTCTCCACGGGTCCAATACCCTCGAGTCCCGTCTCTTCCCTGCTCTCCATCGTGTCTCGAATGCTTCACGACCCTTTCGGATCGACCTCTCGAGTGCAGATCAGCAAAAAGCGGCCAGATAGCAGTTCAGACAGGCCAGAAACCCCAGACAATCTCAGACAAGAGGAAATCCCCAGATCCCCCAAACGCCCCGGATCCCCAGAAAAGAGATAGTCAAAGACCCGCAAAAGACAAAAGAAGGCGAAATCGTCACCAAGAGTCAGAAACACCCGGTGGATTACACGGCCGTCTCAGTCCCTCGTCTCTCTCTCGTCTCTCTCGTCTTTCAGATTTCTCTCTCACTCAGTCCTGTTTTCTTTCATCGTCATCAACCACATCTACCACGTTTACTCATCCGGTCCACTCAACGTCGACCCTTTCTCACCCTTCTTCCTCCCCCGCGCCCTATCCGTCACACCCTTCGATCCCTCGTCAACGGCCTCAACCCGACCAAGACACACTGATCCTGGTGAGTATAATAAGGCCGCGAGGATCTGCCTTTCTCGCTCTCCTCTCGACCGAACGACCAAGACAAGATTCCAAGACATTTGCAGCAAATTTTTCAAAACGCTGACTGTTAAGCTTTGAAGAGTTTTCTCTTCCTCTCTTTTTCGCTCTCTCTCTTTCACTTTCTACCACGCCGCCCACCACATCGCCAGCCATGCCTAGCCAGATCTTCACCCCCATCACCGTCTCGCCCCAGCGCAAGGACCTGCAGGTCGTCACCTCGACGGAAATCCTGGCCAGCTTTGCACCCACAAACGGCAATGGTGGCCATGGTGAACCTACATCTTCGCCGTCATCAACAACCACTCTTTCGTACAACGGCGTCGGCAACACGGTCATCACCACCGACGTGCCCCGGTACGCCATCTGTGAGCACGACTACACCGTGCCGGCCGCGCCCCCGTCCAGTCCCGTCAGCTTCCGCAACGACCACCACTGGCTGCCGCCCAGTATGGTGAAGAATGCCCACTCGCCTCTGCGGAATTGAGACGTCGACGACGAGATGATAAGATGACACAGATGCCGATAGGCGTCCAAGTCGTCCGGTTCGTCGACGGACATCAACAGACATCGACATCGTCGCCACGATGGTCAATGTCATTTCCTTTGTTCGCATTTCATACGGTGTTTCTGTGACTTTTCTATGTTTTGATATTGTTTGTTTTACTGGAACCGTCAACATGGGCGATGCGAAACAAGAAGGGCAATTCAACGAGATGGAGAGCGACGAGTGCGAGATTTTTTAATTTGGCTTTGTGAGAAAAAGACAGAACACACCACGAAAAGACGGCGCCAGGAAGATGGACGATCCCAGACCGGAAGGAAAAACGCTACTCTCCCTAATACCGTTGTTCCTTTGTTTCTTTGTTTCTGTACCACCTTCCTTTCTTTAATGTTGTCTTTACCACACTCCTTTTTTGTCATTTCGATCCTTCATTTTCGGGTGCTGCTGTGCAGATGCGAGGAGTCTGGGAAACATAAACACAACTGGGAACATCAAACGAATCTAGTGACATAGCTGGCAGTTGCAATTTATTACATCAACACTCTATCAAACTAGAAGCAGACTGCTGTGCCCATGAGCTTCCTCCGGGCCCCGTTATCCACAAGGCCATCCTGGGAGTCAGTCGCCGCTTTTTCTTTTTTTTGGTTTTATTTTATTTTATTATTATTTTATTCCTATGCTCATGTGCTTCCTCGTGGATATTTTGATCAACCCGCAATATGAAGGAACCGTCGTATGAACGAGAAGCGTCGGTCAACGCTGCAAACATGCAAAAACACAACAGATACAGATTCATGCGCGGCCACGTGCTGGTGCTGGTGGAACAGTATTATATGTTAGTACATTGTGAGGGTCCGTTCTGCGGACTACATGAGTAGACTATGCAATTTGACGTCGAACACACTTCTGTCACGTACGGCCATAGATACAGGCAATACGGAATCCCGACCGCTCATGTAATAATCGGCGGATTAGTAGTTGGATCGGTGAAGACCAGCGAATGCCCGCAGCTGTACGTTTTTTTGTCTGGATTTTGGATAAGTACTTCATTTTTTCCTATTAATTTTTTTGTTCCTGTTCCCTCTTTTGTTCGTTTTCTTTTTAAGACGACTGTTCTCAAGGATCCCGGGACGCCATTGAGCGCCGACGCCGGGACGTGGGGAAGATAAACTTTGCGCCGGGAAACCGAGACGGCAGGTCGAGGCCATCAGAGCCGATCCCCGTCTCCAGAAGCTCACGGCCGGGTTTCTCGCCATTGGAGCCAAGGCCGTGGAGGAGGATGAATGTGTGGGTATGGGGAGCGGTCGGCTCAATTACAAACGGCGCGGGAGCAGGCCTCGGCCGGCTCGAGGTTGGTTGCGTCGCCATGAAGGCGTAGGAAAGACATTGATCAGTATCGCTTAGAGAGTGTCAGCTAAGGAGCCTGGGCTATGTGAGATTGGAGATGTTCAATTTAGTACCCATTGGCTGATAGGAGTAGGCTGCCCATGCAGCTCGTCAAACGTTTGCGGTTAACCATATAAGCATATTTGCGTCGTAGTGTCAGCTGGTCCCGTCTTCGTACCAAATCTATTAATAAAACGACAACACCAAACCAAAAGGGATAAATGACAATATTTGTTTTCTCAAATTTGGTCTCGACACCGAACCAAAAGGGATAAATGACAATATTTATTTTCTCAAAATTGGGTCTACGACACCGAACCATGGCCATTTCCGACATGGCACTAGTTATCACGAACGAAGAAGTTGACCATGCAACAAAACTCGCTCCGCCATTTTCGATGCCCCGTCTGCTCCCTGATGGGAAGACGGTCCTCAAATCCAGCGACAGAGTCCGTGAAGCAGAGGCCAACATCATGAAGTTTGTAGCTGAGCACACAAGCATCCCGGTCCCGGAAGTACACAACGTCTACCGAGATGCCAAGTCCAGCCATGCCCGCATAGTCATGGAGTATATCGATGGTGACCGGCTGGACAGCGTGTGGGTGACGTCACCGCCGAACAAAAGGATGCGATTCTGTCCCAGCCCCGTGGCTACCTCACAGAGCTTCGACAGATAAAGGGCGCGTTTATCGGCACCGTCGACGGTTCTGGCTGCAGCGACTCCATCTTTTCAATGAACGAAGTGGACGAAGGCCCCTATGCCAACAAGGCCGCATTCAATGACGCCCTGGCAAAAGCTTGGTCTGCCGAAGACGAAGGCAATCCGGTCACGCGTCTGCTGTGCAGAATACAGCATGCCTTTATGCATGACCACGGCATTGTGTTGACGCACAATGACCTGTGCCCGAGAAACATTCTGGTCCGGGGCGCCACCGTCGTCGCCATTTTGGATTGGGAGTTTTCTGGGTTCTTCCCCGAATACTGGGAGTATTCTGTACTGCAAACCCTTTGGCGTCCCGGGTGGAACAACGTGTGGATCACGGAGGGGTACGTTGATAGAATCCTTGACCCTTACTTGATGGAAGTTGCCGTAATGCTCAATACATCCACTTGGTGAATAAGATAGTCTCGGTAGTAAAAAAAGAAACATAAAGGCACATGGATAAACACATGACTCCGCAACCGGTCTCGACTGCTATTTTCTCTTGTATGGCGAAATGGCATGCTATCTAGGTACACTTACACCTTTGAACTTCTGACAGGGATGCCTGCTGTTGTGAACGACTATGGCGTTGTTGAACTCTGCGTCAAATCGTCGCCAAAACTAGCCGAAATCGCCGCCACTGCGCACCAACGCCAACTAAGGTACACCAAAAACGCACCAAACGCGGCCCGCCCCCGCTCCACACCACTTAACGCGTTTTCACCGACGACGCGTCAAAGCGCGTTATTTGTGGTGGAGCACCACACGGTCCACGTCCCAATTTCACAAGCCGCCCTTGCGTATGCTGTTGGCCGGGTGCTTTTGGCATTTTGCTCTTCTGTGTTCTGCCCAGCATTGCTCACTTTCTCCCACCACTCTTTATCGATCTCTCGTTCGACATTTCGTTCACTGCACAACTTTTTTTTTTTCGTCTTTCATACTTCCATTTCGATACTTGCTCTCTCGTCGCATTTCCACGTGCATCATCTGCTTCTGCACACCTTTCTGCATCGCACCTCTCTGCTCGCTTCCAGAAACGCAATTTTCATCCCCCAATAATTACCAGCAAGTCACGTCCCCGCGAGATTGCTTGATCTTCAAATCAAGACCACAGCCTCATCCCACTTGCAAAACAAGAAAGAGCGAAATGGCCCGTCCCTCCCGTTCATCACGGGTTGCTCCTGCCTCCGCAAAGCAGGCCGGCACTGCTGTTGCCCCGTCCAACAGAAGCATCGACACCTTCGGCCGCGTCTCCAAGCGGGTTGCTCCTTCCTCGCTCATCAAGGCTCCTGCCGCCACACCGACAGTGACGATCCCTGCCCGTCGCCAGGCTGCTGTTGAACAGTTCCTCGCCGACAAGGCCATCACTGTTGAACTGCCGTCAGCAGCAGAGGCCGCGGCCCAGCCAAGAACCAAGACACCCAAGACAGCAAAGAAGACTGCGCCAGCCTCTTCATCAGCACCTGTCTCTAGCTCGACCAAGCAGCGGAAGCGCAGGGCCGCCGAGGCTCTTGACTCTGATTCTTCCTCCTCCACGACCTCGTTCTCCTCTCCAAGTTCTTCTCAGCAACAGCCATCCGCAGCAAAGCGGGCTCGCCGTACCACTAAGGCGACGACATGTGTCGCAGATCTCTTGACCCGGACCGCCCAGAAGAAGGCGGATATAGTGCTCCCGTCTGTGGATAGCGATAGTGACTCGGCATCGACACCGGCGTCCTCGCTCGATAGCGGCAGCCTGATTGCCTGTCTGAACCGCAACTTTAGCTCTTCTCTCTCGACCTCGTTCCCTCTATCACCACGCTCCACGTCGTCCTCGCCGCGGCCCAACAGCACCGCTCCCACCACACCATGCGAGCCCGAAAATGAGTCGGAAGACGCCGCACGCAATTGCAAGACAACGGTCCTTCCCCTAGAGCTGCTCGACCTGCTCCGCCTGCAGAATGCATTCGCCAAGACACTCGCACTGCACCACGCCCACCACGGCACCAACGCCCCCGTCGATCTTCGTACCTTTTGCCCGGGTGTGGCCCAGGCCTGGGGCAAGCGGAGCGTTGCGCTCGAAGACGTGCAGCGGTGTCTCGGTGTTGTGTCACTGGCTGCCGCCGCCGACAACAAGGTGGCCGATGCCCTCTTCCTCGCCGACTATGGCCGTGGCAAGATCTGCATCGAGATGCAGAACGACATCGACATCGGCCCCATGGGCACACTGGCCGACCGGCTCAATGCTGTCTTTGAGGCCAACCTGCGTGCTCGCTGGGCCGCGTCTGCCTCTTCCAAGACGGCGACGGACCTCAAGCAGTTCATCGCTGCCTTGCCCAAGGCGCCCGTCACCGCGTCCAAGTCGGTGCTGCAGACGGCCGTTCTGCGTGCCAAGGGCCAGTGCACGCTCGAGGAGCTGATGCACGGCATTGCCCTCAAGAAGCAGGAGAAGGCTGCGCACGAGGCGATGCTCAAGGCCCCGGTGGCTGCTGCTGTTGTCGAGGCAGAGTCGATGGATGTGGACAGCGATAAGACAGCGACGACGACATCAGCAAGAGAGGACACCGTCACCGCCGCCACCGCCGCCACCCCCATGAACCTCCTCGACCGCATCCGCTTCCGCCAGATGCAGCGGGCCCAGCTCCAAGCGGCCGGTGCCCTCGCTGCGCCGCCCACCCCGGAGGAACTCGAGCGCCGTGCAGCCCTGCAGCGCGTCGGCGACATTGCCGAGGTGCTGTCCATGCTGTGCACGGCCGCATCGCTGCGTCAGAGCAACCGTGTATCCTTTGGCATGACGGCCATTACCAGCAAGATCAAGGACTCGCTGCGCATGCCCATTGCGCGCGAGGAGGCGGCGTCGTGCGTGCGTCTGCTGGCCAAGGAGGTGGCGCCGCAGTGGCTGTCCATTGTCAGCATGGGCGGTCGCGAGATTGTGATTATGCTGGCAGACGTGGTGCCGAGCAAGACGATGATTCAGGAGCGCGTGCAGAGCCTGACGCGGTAATGTTTTGACGGACTGCTTTATTCACTTTTGGCGTGGCAAGCGGGATTGGACTGCATTTACTTGTGGCGTTGGGACAGCATATATAAAACTCACATTATTGGATAGCTTTTGTTTTGTTTCTATTTTGCTTTCTTATTTTTTTCTTTTTACCACCGAGTTCACGTTGGTTTAGTATACGAGAGGCAAAGCATAGTACAGCATTGAGATACCTATTGTTTTAACAAAAATGATTCAAACATAAAATCAGCAAATACTCTTGTTGGCTGGTTGTGATAGTTTACAACGGAGATATGTCAAGTCACGTTTAGACGTTTGGAGTGTAAATGTTTGTATTGCTAACGGTCCAAGAGGCAAACTCGACCGTTAGACGTCTATCAAATAGAAAAGAAACATGCTACCGCTCCAATATGCGACCACTCCTCCGAATGATCCCCCACGGAATTTTTGTCAGTCTGAGCAGCCTTCCCAGCCACCGCAGTCTTGTCTAGTCTATCTTGCGCAATCGAACCGCCACACGTAGCATACCGAGTGCACGCATGCAGATGAAAAGATATATATCGACGGGCGGAAAAGCAAAGAGAGCATTTTCGTTTCGTCCAAAACTAAATCAAAAGCAATCAAAAACGACTTTGTCGCAGAAAGAGAGAAAGAGAGCGAAGCAGCAGAGAGAAAGAAGAAGTCGGCTCAAAATCCAGTCTGAAAATTTCGTTCGCCGTTCGTAAAAGCCATCCATCGCATCAGGTGACCGACGGAGAGAGACAAGTGGGAGGGAGAGTTCGGAAGCGGAGGATCAAAGACAGAAATAAAGCAACGAGGGCACGTCGATTTATTTCTTCTTCTCAAATTTGGGCTTGCCAATGTCTGAGCCCCGCAGCTTGACGTTGAGCACCCGCTCAATGGCGCCCAGCACCTTCTGGTCGGGCTGGCCCTCGCCGCGCTCCATGGCGCCGATAATGGCCTGCTTTGTGTTGCACCGATCGGCCAGGTCCTTTTGCGACATCTTGGGCTCCATCTTGGACCGCCGGTCCGCAATGATCACGCCAATCTCCTTGCCGATCTGCTTGACCTTGACAATGTCGTCCGACCGATCAACCTTGGTCAGGTGCTGGCCCTCGACGGACGGCTTGGACGTCGAGTTGCCGGTGGCGTACTTCTTCTCCGTGGCCACAATCGAGCCCGTGCGTTGTGCAGCGTTCAGCTGGGCTCGGCTGCGGACGACCGTCTCGCGCTGGACAGCGCCGCCGTTGTGGCTCTTACCGATCTTGATTGTATCATTCCAGCCCATAGACATCTTGGCGGTTTCTGAGAGCTGCTCTTGTCGTTGAGGCGTAGAGAAAGGAATTTGAGAAAAATGGTCGACGACCAGAAGAAAAAGTGTCGAACGATAGTAGCGGTGAGGGACGAAGATTGAGGGGGAGATAGAGAAAAGAGAGACGAGGTGCGTCGATATTTAAAGAGAATGTCGATTTGCTCGCGTGAGAAGGCTGAGTTCGTAGGCTGACGGTTTGTCAAAAAGTGAAGAATGACGAGAGAATTCGGAAAGGGAGATAGAAAGGCTGGGGGAAAAGAGGCAAGCACGCACCCTTGCCGCCGTTCGTCGCTGCCCAGGAGGGGCTTGGGTGGTCTAGACCCGCTTTTTGCCCTTTCCGCCCTCTGAGCCAATGCGGACTTAAGAGACGCGGGGGAAGCAGTCACTGCCATAATGCAGCGTCGAGAATGTTTGGTTGTGTGGCAGTGGCGCGGACACGCCGATTGAGTCAGTCGGAGGCGTTGTTCAGGGCCTGTTAGTGGCTCCTGGCCACTGGCTGTGTTTGGTCCAAGCCGTTGGCCAGCGAATCTTCCACCAGATTCTACCAGTCATATATTTTGCCCCACTGTGTGTTTGATGTAGATAGTATGGATAATTGCATATTCACTAAACTTATTCCTGTATCAGAGCTTCTGCTATGTACCTGGACCAAAAGACATTACGTCTTACGGTCACCATGACATAGAAAGTGACTGTTCATCCTTTCGATGTTCATGATACTCGCGAGTCGATACGCTCCCTCTTTACGACATACCAGAAGCATAGTTTTCTGTAAGAGTAGTGAGAGATGCCTCCAAAACACGATAAATGACCGAACACGTGACTATTTACCTCCCGATTAGTCATTTCAGAGAGTAGCTAATACGACGAGGCCGTTTCATCCCCCAACAAACCGAACTCCGATGTCAGGAAGGGATCTGTGCACCGGATACGGAGTGCAGTGCAAAATAAGCAAAAATGGGATGATTGGAAGGAAAGAGCAAGCAACAATGCTCAAACTACGGCGTGGCCGGCAGCTTCGATGAGGACGACAGCGACACGAGCATCAAATTTGCGCGTCTGTACTTCACCTTCTGCTAATCGACGGTCGATGAAGATCTCACACACGACATACGGCGCTATGTCGAGCATATCTTACCATTCGGCTGCACTTGCGGCCAGACTCGGCATTGCTTACGCCTTCGGCCATGGCAGCCCCTTTTACAGTCTGTTAGCACTGACCGTGGCCGTTGTACAAGACCGTCACATGTTGGAGCACCACCTCGCCATGGTCTTGTGCGAGATCAATTCCCACAAAATGATGATTGGAGCACTTGCATCGGTATTTTGTGCCGTCATCGGCATCATCTTCAAGCCCGGTGCGACAAAAGAGCAGCAGTATCTAGTGCCGCCAACCAGCGCTCGAGACGATCCCTGGGCCGGGCCAGGGAAGCCTCTGTTGCTCCCGTGCATCACAACACATACGCGGCTCATTCCCAAGAGACACTCATTTGTGTACTCCTACCTTGTGGTGGGCGTGCCCGTCGGCTGGACCGGCGTCTGCGGCGGCATGATTTCAGTGGCTGCGGCAGGAAGTGAGGATGAGAGAAAACGGCAAAAGAAGGGCTGGTTCCACATCGACGCCGACGACTACCTCGAGCGTGGAGGCGGCTACCTGGGCCTACGCGGCAAGCTCGACGCGCACCTTATATCGCAGGGTGCAGATCCGGAGCAGTATCCCTATGCATACTTTGTCACGGCCCCGCGCTTTCTTGGCTACCACTTCAACCCGATATCGTTCTGGTACCTCTACAATGCAAACAAGACACTGGCGGCCATGGTCCTCGAAGTCAACAATACGTTTGGCGAGAGGCGCATGTACTATCTCACACCCGAAACAAAGCCAGAAGTAACTGTCAGCAGGAGCTGCAACGAACAGGAGACGCGAACGTTTCGGCAGACGTGGCCCAAAGATTTTCATGTGTCGCCGTTCAACTCGCGAAAAGGGTCGTACCAGTTGCGTGCCAATGACCCCCTCGGACCCCAGATGCGAGGAAAAGGACCCATCGCTGCCACTATCGTCCTGCGCACATCCGACGCGCAAGGCAAGATTGTCGCTGGCCTGCATTCGGAGCCAGGCAAGCCTGTGGAACTGCAATCGCTCGATCCGGCGGCAATGACCCTTTGGCAAAAAGCAAAATTCCTCGCAGCGTGGTGGTGGGTCGGCTTTGGAACGTTCCCGCGCATCCTCACTCATGCCTGCATTTTGTTCTTCAAAAAGGGGCTACATGTGTGGTTTCGACCTGAGCCGCTTGCCAAGACTTTGGGCCGCGTGGCCGACGCGACCGAGTCGCAGTTTGAAGCCTTTTTTTACTTGTATCTTCGGCACCTCGTCAACAATGTCGGCGACGGCGATGGCCCAGGCACAACCGAGAACAAGCCTCTGGCTGTACGGTACATTTCTTGTGGAATCCGCGGCTTGCGGTCGGAGCTGCTGTTGTCGCCCTCTGCTAGTGCCGCTGCCGCTGCTGCAGCTGCTGCTACGGGTACCAGCATCGAATTTCATGATGCTTCGGTGACTGGGGAAGTATCACCAGAAGGCATCGACGTAATTGAGTTCCGTGTTCTCACGCCCGTCTTCTACACACGCTTCGCTCTGTATGCTCATGATGTGGAGGCACTGTTTTGTGAGTTGCGCGAGAGCTGTACCATTGACATCTCGCCACCAGCGGCGGCCGCCGTCTTTGCCAAGCGGCTTCTGTCCAAGCGGACGCTGCCGCCAGAGCTTCAAATACGGGATCTCATGTCGTACGTCTCGTTCAAGCTTATCCAAAAGCTGCGGCGCCGGCCTGCTCCCATCCCCCGGCTAAAGATATGGCCAACCAACAAGGACGGTACGGCAACCGTACTGTCGTCGCCAAAGGCGGACGCAGTGCCGATGAGCGTATCAGGAGATCTCCGCAGCTTTCGCCTGTCCGCTATGGATGGGCATTTCCTCTCCCTCGGCCACGAATCGCAAGCCATAACCACAGACTACTGCAGGACGGTGCTGAGCTTGGTTTTAGCGGATCGCATCACCTTCGGGTCGACGGTTTTGTTACAGTTACTGAAAATGGGTGTCGTAAGTTGTTTGGTGTGTGGCTCGATGTCATTAGTGCTCAGGGCTCTCTACATACTCGGCCTCTAGATGCAATACGTGTATGGATGCGTCAGAAAACAGAGAAAGCGGCATTTGCTCAAGACTCGTTGGATATTATTACTGCAGAGGCATGGATTATGGTGCGGGAGTACAGGCGGTATGGATATGCAATCCAACAAGCAAACACCAAAACACCACCTTTGTATTCTGTAAAGACCACGCCGCTTACAAATGTCAAAAATCAAAATTCCGTCCCAACTTGTGCATCAATGGATTCCACGCCATAACTTGTTTACGTTGTTGCTGGTCCAGCATCCATGATCTCAATAAATCTCCTTTCATGTACCATTCCACCGACATCCCTTTTTGGCGATATGTTTTATTCGAACAACCAAATCGGGACAAGGCTAGCCTCGTATGTTCCTATAACAGCTTCCGTGACGGCGAATAACGGCCAACGTGGTTCCGAGTAGGGAACTCTGGAAACTAGTATTGTCTTGGCTATCATGGCAAATACGGTGGAATTCCCGAACAGTTGAGGTCACATGCAGAACCACGACTTGCAGGCCACGG